AATGCTGCATCTCGCGGTGAATGCGAACGTTATTATTGCAACACTTTTTAAGCTTGTGGTAAATTAGAGTTTGAGAAAAACGTGAACTTATTGTGGTGCGGGAAACACAGTCCGCAATTATCGCTCCAAAACCAGCGAACTATGTTTTCTCCCCGCAAGCTTGTTGCTAGGGGGTGATGCGTCGGCGCGTCAGCTCGTCTGCTTCCCGGGGCGTCTGCAGGCGTGCGTTTGCGGGACACGTGTTCCTTCTTCCCATGGATCCCGACTTCGAAGCCAGCTTTGCGACCCTTTCACGGCGACGAGTCAAACTTTTCCTCGTCATCTGTGGAATGCGACTGCGTATTGCAGTAGCAGCGCGACGGTGCGGTGCGACGAACGACGACTGCCGAGCACAAAGTCCGGGCTCCTTGACGACGGTCCGCGCGTGTTCGAGAGATTCCTCCGCGGGTTGGCGGTCGGCCGCGTTGGTGACTCGCAGTGACGCCGGAATCCTTCGTTCGCCATTGGCTGACGCGTAAAGAGATGCCCCTCCCATTTTCCGGGGTCATCTCAGAAAGGGGGGCGTGCCGGGGACTTTGATAGCAATTTTAATAGGGAAATCCGCCGCACATGACCGTAATTTTATGATTTTTAGGATCCTTAGGGCCTATAGATTGAGTTACCGCCATAAATAGACCATCGCAGAACGCTCCGGAGGGCCCCTTTAATTAGCATGCCTGGCTAGCACTCTATGGTCTCACAAATTTTTAGGTTCAATACGCGTGCCTTAATTTTTCTTTTAGAGCGCAGTTCTTAGGCGCCCGTTTCCGGCTTGAGCGGCGTCGGCGTCGGCGTCAGCGTCAGCGTTGGCGTCGGCGTAACCGCAAGGTCACGTGACCCCCGAGGTCACGTGACCACCCAGGTCACGTGACCCCCCCCCCCCCCCCCCGAGGTCACGTGGTCCCCCCCCCCTTCCTTGCCTTCCCCCCTCCTCAAGAGCTGCGCTCTAATTCGGTGTTACAGGGAGTTGTGAACGGCTTTCATTTTTTTCTTTAGAATTGGCTGTTGTTACTGGTGAACGTAAGATTTAAACTGAAATTTATTTTCAATCACAATCGCAACATTCGAAAGTGCCACTTCGGAAAACTTGCGAAGATTGCGCACCTGCATCGCGCACGCAAAAACATACATAAGAAAACATTCCGCTCACCCCTGCGCTGTAGCGTTTGTCTCGCTCGCGCTTTATGTTCAAACAAATTGTCCGCATGCGGCTGATGGAAGACGTGAGAATAAGCGTGCTTTCGGCTTAACACTTTCAAGCGGCGCTTGAAGGCGCGAGTGGAGTGCCCTCGGACGGTACTTGAACGCTCCGCACGAGTGCCGTCGGACGGCACTCTAGACACATGGGGTTTCAATAAAAAAAAAAAAAAAAAAAAAAACTTGCTAAGCATAATCAAAAACATTAAACAACTTATTTTAGAAAGATATAAGGCATGCGGCATCTTTTTATGGCATTCCGAAATGCTAAATTTGGACGAGTCTCCAGGTTTTCCTCTTGGAGCGCATCTTTGCACCAGCGGCCCAGTTGCAACCGCCTCGCCTCACTCGTAGGATGAAGCTAGGGAAGCACCGCGGAGGGAAGTATCGCGCACGAGCGTTGCGCGCCTCGGCCACCGAAGAGCAGGACCGCTGGAGCAAAGATGCGCTCCGATAAGAAATGGAAACCTAGAGATGCTTCAAAATTGAGCGCTTTTCTAAGCCGCTGTAAAATGCTGCCCCCCCCCCCCCCCCCCCCCAAAAAAAAAAAAAAAATTAAAAAAAGTAAATAAATGATTTAGTGGTTTTTGACAATGCTTAGCAACTATCTCGCTGGAATCATACGCTTATTTTTAATAATTAAAAAGTTAATTAATAAATATTAGTTAATTAGTTCGTTTTTTGCAACCCCTGACGTCTACCACGACAGGCAGTTCGCTCTTGGAACTAGTTTCTTTTTTTCTCAACCATCAAAGTTATTAGGTATTTTTTAAAAGACTTCGATGAAACAACCCGAGAATATTAGCTACAGCATTGTTCAGAAATCGTGTCACATGCCGCTCTGGAAGAGTGGTGTCCCCTTAGCACGCGGGTGCGCTGCGGCAAAACAAGCTGCGCAAAATGGCGATATCCATTTTGCAGTTGTCGCTTCACTGCGGTACACCAGTGCGCGGCAGGAAGCGCACTCAACAAAGCAGGCTAACCTGTCAGATGAGACCACGCATGCGAGAAATATTGGGAACTTCCAAGTACTGGCATTGTCTGATAAAGAAAAAATCAAATGGTACATTATTTGACGCGATAATAAGAAGTTTGGAAAATTCGCACAAGCCCACCGTAACAACCCGGCTGTATAGCAGGGCCCAAGCTATTATATTTTAAGTACCGACAAACCCCGACCCAATGAAGACCACCAGACCCCCTCCCTATCGCCGGACGGGGCGTCCTTTTGACATTAAAGTTACAACACACAGATAAGTGGTAATTACTTTTGGTGCAACGTTGGCGCAAATGGCGCAGCCATCGCATCACTGCACCATTCGTGCAATACTCTTCCGTTATAGGACTGTATCGGGTTCCCAATCTGGGTTGATCCAGGAATTCCCCAGAGCACGCTCATTGGCTCACCGAGCTCCTAAATTTCCTCGGCTGTTCATCCTGCCTCCAGTTCATCCTGCCTCCTTCTAGCCTTATCAGTGGTTATAGTATGTGTATTACGGGTTACAAGGTCTACAGGTTTCTGTGCTGATCAATGCCGAGGCTGGGACGGATTCCTCGGGTGTCAGTCAAAACAGACGCGTGCAGGGTGCCTACCATAGTGAAGTTTCCGAACTCCCCGACTATTTCATCAACCTCACCTGATCGACTCCTAAGGGGACAGGACGTCAAGGGCTCTTGACTTGTTGAGTTTATTCTTTAATATTTTTCGCTGAATCAAGTACTTTTAAATAAACCACGGGAAAACAATGTCCAAAAAGAACCTTAAAGTTATGGCAGTCTCCTGACAGCCTGCTGCAGAGCATACATTACATTGCTATTAGTTTAAAGTGAGCATAGACCAGGGTGTAAGATAGACAGGTGGGGAAACGAGAGCCAAATGAGTGACCGCATTGTGTCCCCCTCGGTTTTCCCTTTTTCTGTGGCGCCATCTATGTGGAGCACCGCGAACTCTCACTCCGGGTGAGCGACCGAAGGCGACCGGCTAAACTGACGGAGATGGTTTCTCGTGGATTTTTAATGAAGGACTGTCGTACTCTCGGTTTATTTTGCGCACTCTTTCATAGAGTTCCACGCAAATCCGATTCCGATTTTTGTTCCTCTCGCCGCAGCGCCATCTGTCGCAAGTCAGGGGTACCCGCAAGCAGACGAGTACACAATCCGGTCACGGCGCTGCGGTAGGCTTCTATGGGCCGTTTCCCCACCTGTCTATCTTACATCCTGGCATAGACATTCCACCATCCCACGCACAAGCCAGTTGGCTTATGTGGGATTTACATTTAAACTGAATTTTAAAAGGAAAATAAAGTTTTTAAAGAAACAAAAAGGTGCAAACGTAAATGCTACATTGCGGGGAATACTGAAGTGCTCGAGAGTCGAGGTTGATGACAAGCGTAAACAGAGTCACACTGATAGTTCAACAAAAGTAACCTTTGTTCCAATGACTCCACCATTTTTTTTTTGTTTTGTTTTGTTTTGTTTCACTGCTTCAGAGTTGACTTCGTTTTGAATAAAAGTGGCTGGTGTCTCTATCTCGCTCGAAAGTCTTTGTTTTTTACTTCGAACCATGCCCCCATCCAACGCTGTGGCTCAGTGAAAGGAGAGCTGGATTTCCCCGACTGATTCTGGTTGGGGTGGCAATTCCCGACTTTCAGTCTCAACAAATTCCTCGACAATTCTCAGGTGGTAGACACCTTGTCCTGCATTAGAGGAAGTGGCCAGACGCCAACATTACTCCGTTTCACTATGATTTGACGAACTATGGTTGCTACGGCCCCTGCGACTCAATAAGAGCCTCAGAGTGAGGCACGTGGCACCTCGTCACAGAAGCGTTTGCGTCACTGCACCAAATGCAAGGCCCAGAGGAACCAACTTCGGATGCTGCGAAACCAACCAACTTCGGATGAATGTCCACCGCCGCAACATTGCCGTCCACTAGGGTAGCCAGCTCTTTAGAAACGGTTCATGAGGCAACCGCACGCTAAATATACCTGTGAATCTGCAACAGGTGCTAATGCCAGGGCAATGTTTTGAGCGGAAGTGGTCGATTATGCGGCTGTGATCATTCAGACATTGTTCAAAAGCCACACTGTTCTCAAAAAAAAGGTTAGTCCAAATTAAGTATCCCCAAAAAGTAATGAGTCTCCGACTTTCTTCCGTGTCATGTGGCATAGCGTCGATAGAGATGCAACGGCGCGAGTTCAATTGTTGTTAAAAGAAAAAAAGCCTGGAACTACTTTTTGCTGTGGCCGGCGCCTTTGCTGTGGCGACGACAAGGCCTCCGTGGCCGAGGCCACGGAGTCTGGTCTTGTCCCTCGCTCTTATGCCCTTATTGGGTCGCGGGGGTCGCAGCCTCCACAGTTCGCCCAGCTGTCGTGAAATGGAGCGTTGAGTAACTGAGTAGCTATGCTTAGGGTATCGGCACTCGATCCTCCCATTCTTTTGTGGGCGCCATTTTGGTGCTGAGTGCAGTCGGCGCACCTGGCGATCGTTAAAACTCAAAAATGTCTTCCTGAACTTTGAATGCGGTGTTGGGAAGCTCGAGCGATAGTTTTGCTCGGTCGCAGATTGTTTTCCCATTTCTAGAGGGCGAAAGGACATTTCCTATGACTTCAGGTTTAGCTTCAGATAACTGGCAACAATGATTTCGAGCACCAAGATGGCTGGAGAGTCACTACTCTGAAGCGCAGCCTATTAGTGGCTCCAGAGCCAACTATACAGTAACACAATCTGCATTAAAAAAATATGAAAAACTGTGACACAGAGCATGAATGAAGATGGTCTTTATTTGCGTAGAAATGGGCAAAAAAGCGTCAACGGAAACCGAGAAGGCCGCCTCGGCCCTCTGAATGTACACAAGAAGGAGACGGGAGGGGGGGGGGGGGGGGGGTGCTACTTCTTGGCAAAGGTGATCTTCATGGCGTGAGTCGGGGTGATCTTGAAGCCCTGCAGGGCCTCTTTGGCAGCGGACGACTGGATCTCGTTCTCAAACTCCACAAAGGCGATGTCGTGACGTCCGGGAACCAGCCGCACCTCCTTGAATCCGGGGAACCTGCACGCAGTCAAAGTAAAGCTATACTTAGTAGTCGCCAATCACTAGAATACTAAGATGATAGAAGAGGTACAGTCATGTCTTGTTAAAGGGGCACTGACACCCCAAAGGTCGTATTTATTTTTATTGTCTAAAACGATGCAAGTTGCAGTCATAGACACGCAAAAAAAAACCGCATCGCGAAAAAAAATTTTCTCGCGCGCGCGCGCGCCTTTTTATTTTTGTTGTTTGATTTTCCCGCCTCTCACCTCCTCGCTTCTTTTGATCGGTGACGTCAAGAATCATGAAATTTAGAAGCTTTGTAGGCGACATCTCTATAACATTTAATTACGACAATCCTAAAACATGTTTTTTAACGCAATTGCGAACGCACTACGGCCCTTCTTTTTGAGATACCAAAAATCGGGAGTTTGTTGTGGTGCCGTTTCCTGGATATGTATCCTCCAACGGAAAACAGGCGACACCGCTCAAAACCGGTCCGCCGGAACGCCGCCGCTCGCTCCTTTCCCCCTCGCTTTCGGTCGCCATGGCAACAGCAGGGAGTGGTGAAAGAAAGGGGACTCTCAGGTCTCCGCAATTTTTGACGTCAAGGCACCGGCGCCGATCGCGCGGGAACTTCGAATTCGGCATTTGGAAATTGTTTTTTTACTTCACGAATACTGAATTCCCAAATTTCAAATTTTGAGGGTAATGTCCCGGCATCGTTTTCAATCGTTTCGGATAATAAAAAAAAATATGATTTTGATATGTCAGTGCCCCTTTAAGAGAACAGGGTAGGGCAAAATTTTGAAAAATTTTGAGTTTTCGTTTTTTAGAGATCTGGATTTCCCAGTCTTTCCTGAACAATGCTGACTGTGTAATTTGAGCGTGCGCGATTTATCTACAGGAAAAATGACCTTTTCCGAAACCTAGGTGGTGAGTGACCACGCCCCCTTTTACGCCTATGCACGATCTGTATCTCTCCTATGTTGTAAAAAAACCGTAAAAAAAAACACAGATTTTCACTAGGTTTAGCGGAATGTTCATTGCTCGTCCAGCAACAGCAAAAAGCTGTCTAGCTTTTATTTTTTTAGCCCCATAAATCCTCAAACACTGCCGGTGTCAGTCGCGACGCGCATAATTTTGCTTCTGCTTCGGCATGCTTCCACGGGCAAGGTAATTTATTGTTTACTTTAACACTAGGTTTGGAATGTTAAAAATGACGAAGACGAAGAAGATATTTTAAAAGCATCGCTTCCAGAGTACTCGGCATAGGTCAATTTCTTATGCCGCCGAGTCCCCGCAACGCATTCTGATGCCTGACGCAGCGGCTACTACGTGTGCGTCTTCTTCGAAGCTGTCGCACTCGACAGCACGCTTTGAAGAGCTCAAGGCAAGTGTTAGTGACTGCAACTGTGCACTGATTGGCAACGACCTTCTGTCCTGTACCGTCGCCGAAAGCTGGGTGTGCAAAGTGTGTGGTGGGGACTTGCAGCTGGTTAATAAAGCAGCATTAAGAGCTGGCGTCGCCTGCACCTACTTTCTGAACTCTGAAAAGTGCTGTTGGACACACTGATTAGAGAGACGTCAAAACGGACAACTTCGAGCCTCTACTTGGCGTTTTACCAGGATGATTCATGGTGCAGTGGTTGCGGGACGTTGACCGGCGACGACTTTACTTGGCAGACAGGGCTACACGGCTCGTCACAAAAGAGGCCCAAAAAGCAAGACAGCAAACAAAGAAACTAAATATTGACTATAAAGGTGACAACCTGGCTGGTGGCTATCGAACGGATACGTCAGCATGCATTTCTAGAGTGCAAGTTTATTATAAAGTGCCTTTTTTCACTTCAAAGTCGATTATCTCAAAACATCATTTTTTTAACCATTTCGTCGTTTACCCTGAGACTGTGGTTTTTTTTTTTAGAAGAGCAGAAGTAACAGAAAAAACAGACAGGTCTCAAACTCAGCTACAAGTTTATTTCAACAACCTCCTCTTATATAGTTCGTTCTCGTCGTCATCAACCAATCACATGCGACTTGTCCTCTGCACCGTGATGACGACGAGAACGAACTATATAAGAGGAGGTTGTTGAAATAAACTTGCAGCTGAGTTTGAGACCTGTCTGTTTTTTCTCTTACTTCTGCTCTTCTAAAAAAAAAACCCCACTCTCAGGGTAAACGACGAAATGGTTGATTTCCACCAGCTAGCCTGTACTTTGACTCTTTTATCATTTTTTTGCGACGTTTGACCCTTTTTCTCTGAAACCATAAAAACTAGAAGTATCATTTTTTTTCCACTGACAAGACAACACAAGGGGGAGTCTACTGAACTAGAATTATGGAAATTAATCAAGGAAATTTTGTTTGACAAGCTGTTTATTGTCTATTTTGGCATTGAAATTAGAAGGGTCCAGTAAAAACAAACGCAAAAAAGAACTAAAATATATATAACAATAAATCTAGTTCAGTAAAGAGAACACAGAAAGCTAAATACAATGATACCAACATGAATCCTCTAACCCTAGCAGATCCTGAGAAAAAGGGTCACATACATAGGCTGAAACCCATGGGAAGAATAGGGCCTACCCTGTTCCCTTAACATGAACACCTCCGTTCCCACAAAATATTGTCCATAATGTGAGTTGTCCATAACGAGAAAAAAATGAATGTACCTTCCTAGTTTGTCCTCGAAAATGGTGCCTGTATAGCAAGGTCCATATTAACGAGACACGGCTGTATTGAAGCATGAATGATTTTTACGCATATTCAGAATGTCTGTAGCTCTGCGCAATGCAAGCTTGGCTTCATGAGGCGAACCCCAAGTAAGAAAAACTCCGTCATAAGAGCTAATGTTTATAAAGCTACGGCGCGCCCGCAATATAGCATGCATCTATAATTAGGGTTACCCATTCACAAACTCAAATACATACTAGATTTTTTTTTTTCTCCATGCATTAGGCTGGAGACAGTTACAGCTTTGAAAAAAGAAGCAATTTTCCCTTACCAACAAAATGTAAGATTGCTCAGTTAAACATTTCTTCTTTTTTTTTTCATGTTGTATTTTAAGCATTTTAACATTGACAAGCAAGGTTACATAAAACCGCCTGGAAGGCAATCTTGGCATTTAAATTATGAATTTTTAGTTGACCGCACCTACCCATGACGTTTAGAAATACTCTTTTCTCATCAAAACTGTCAAAGACTGGAACAAATTGCCACAGTGTTTTTACCGGTTTTCCTTCCGTATAAGAAAATTTGAAGAAAAATTGTTAAATTTGTTTCCTGACGTACAATAAATCCATTTTCTATGTGTATAGGGAGTATTCACTGGACGCCATACTTGAGGGTGCTGTTTGAAGTGCATGGTCAGAACGCATTCGCATTATTAGGCCTCAAAGACCGGCAATCTTGATGGTGTGAAATGGACGTTCCAAAAGAACTGTGGAAGCTTGCCATCAGAACGTGCTCAGCAATCGCACACACAGGTACCGCAGCCACTGAATACTCCCTATAACTTGTCATACCTTTCCGACTACATGCTGTAAACCCCCCTCCTGGAATGACCCCTAAGGGTTGGCAGTATTTGAAACAAATAAATAAGAATAAATAAGGTCATCCACATCAATGACTGATGATGACATAGAGCACGCCCATGAACCGATTCTATTAAATAGACGAGGGACAGTGGATGATGTGATAAACCATTTGCAAATCACATAGGCTTTGATTAAAGTAAATTCTACAGCCAGAGAGCAAATAATTTTTGAATCACACTCGTATGTGCACATTGTTAATGAGTGTTTGTGAATGCATGTGTCGAAGGAAAAGACATTCTTTTTCACAAGCTGTCTTTTGCTTGCCACTGTAGGGGGCCGGAGGACCCCTACAATGTTTTAGAACTTCTTTTCCACGCCTCCCCCTCACCAATTTGAGCAGAAAATGAAAGTTGTTGCATTGTAACGTTTCGAACATGGGAAGTCAATCTGCCTTAAAATGCTTCTCGAGTCTCCGTCGCATTGAGGCATATTTGCCAATGCATTATGCGACCCCTAACACGAGGCCTGGGGGGAGTGCAACGATATGGGTTGGAACGTTCCTCACTTTCAACAGGCTTACAGGCACAAGTGGGGACCCAACTACATATTCGCATGCCACGAAGGGAATGTTTGTGCTGAACATCCAGGTCTTGCGCACAAAGACTCGGCGCCAACTGTGGCTCTCAGTTTGTATAGCGCTATGCTCGGGTAAGCCGACATCGATCAGAAGCTAAGGTCGGCAAGCTACGCATGACGTCTACGAAATGCATCTGCTGGGAGGCACATCGTGGCACCGCCGGCTTGTTGCACGCTTCCAATTAAGCATCTATCTCGCAAAGCCACCCGATCGCTAGAAACGCGTTTTCAACTCGCTGCTTGTCTTCGTACGGGCAGCAAGCCTTCCCTCGCACATGCGACCCTCACTCCCTGCTTGTCCCATCTCCCCTCCTCGTGCCACCGTTTTGGACGACTAACATCGAGCGACGCGGCGGATCATTCGATCTTTACGTAAATAAGCAGTTTCGACAACAAACAATCAACGAAGCATGAATGCGGGGGGTTTCTCCGGAGCAAAGAGAGACTCACTGGTTGAAGAGCATGGAGAGCATCATTTCGTTGGTCTCCTCGGGCAAGTTGGTGAGGAAGAGGATCTGGTTGGGGGGCTGCTCGGGCAGGGAGCCCATCATGGCCCCAGGGGCCATCATCATCATCATGGGCTGGGACTGGAGGTGGGGCCCAGCCACGGCCGCGGTGGCACTGGCCACGTGCTGGGGCGCCTTCTTCTTCTTGCTCTTCTTGGGGACCGCCTCGCCGTCCACCGCCGGGCGCTTGCGCTGCGTCTCCACGTACGTGCCCTTCATCTTGGCCACCGCGTCCGAGTCCGTCTTGGAGTACTGGATGCGCTGAAGGAGGCAAGGTCCCCAGTTAGCCGCTCAGTTTGGCAAAAGGCAACCGACAGACATTTCGCAGGGATCCCCTAAGGTCCACCGCGGTGTCTACCGTGTGACGCTGAAGAGAGCAAGAGGGTACAGGAGTTGCTTGCCTGCCCTGGTCCACTCGCCGTTGCCTTTGCTGTCCACCATACACCGTCTCGCCCTAACCTGGCAAACGCCAAAGACTATGGTCCCAGTGAGCCAGTGGGTGCTTTGGAGGGAGACACACAACTACACTCCACCTTACTAGTTGCGTGCAGTGCTGTCAGAGCCGTGAGAGAAAGAGAGAGGGAAGCCGCTTTCGTACACAATTTTAACAACAGGCTAATCTTCTAGGGTGAGAAAAGTGATGCCCGAGACAAAAAAAAGGAGGGTAGCATTTCGACATGCAACCGAAATCTCGGTTCTCTGCAATAAGCTTCCATCGGATTGCGAGCACCTCAGCCGGGATTCAAAACCGCCTTTTGGGGATCTCTAGGCTCGCGCTCTGCCTCACCACCGAGGAGCTTTGAAAGTCGACGAAGTCCATTCCCATGTCCCGTTCTTCTCAATGTAAGCCCCAATATTTTTCTGTGACAGCAAAAAAATACAGACTTAAAAGACAACCCAGAAATGGTTTGGCTCGCACCGTTTCCGGGTTGTGTGGCCCTGCTCTCGAGCGTGGTAGGCTTTAAAACTGGGAAAGTCAAAATAGACAAGAGTTGGATGTGTAAACACTTCTTGCAGACTTTGCTTCATAGACAAAAAAAAGAAAGTTTTCGCAGCATGTAGCACATCTGCTCTACAATCGCGGACAGAGTGAGAAAAGCGGGACAAGTTTTTCGAACTCCCCGCTACGCACGCGTGCCGAGGTGCATTGGATCCCAAAGCGTCGTCGAAGGTAGGACACTTGCACCGTAAGCGGGGCAACCTAAGCTCCTCCCTGCCATTCTCACATCGTCGTCGATCATATACTCCGTCTCACACAAAGTCCGACCGCAGCCGACGCTACGCTACGACGTAGCCAGTCGAGCGGCGCCAAAAGTGCGTCATTATGCTGCTTGTTGCTTTTCCGAGTTTGCCATCGGCGACCGGGCCAGTCACGTGCAGATAAAAGGGCAAGATCACGGGGCATTTACCGTGCATGATTGATTTAGCTGTGGACGGCAAAGTTGCAAAGATAACGAACGCCGTGACGATGCACTTTTGGTGCAGCCCGACTTGCTCCGTCAGATTGCAGCGTCAGCTGCGGCCGGACTTAAGAGTGAAACGGAGTATACAGTAGGCTCACGATAATTCAAACTCAGATATTTTGTACTTCCGGTCCATCCGAACAAATTTCAAAATTTTGGTTGTCCCAATACCGTAAAATACCGGGCAAGCGCCCACTCAAAATTTTGAGATAGTAATGAAAAAATGGGGGATGGGCACTTGTCCGGTCATCAATTCTACATATAAATGTACTGTGCATATTTTCTCAGATTTTACAAATTTGGGTATGGGCAGATAATATGGTATGGGCGGATGCACGGTATTTTACGGTATGTTTTTAACCTATGCGTAAGGCGCTTAATTCAAACGAAGTTTTCGCGTAAAGACCTCTTCACATACTTCTGACTTTTTAGGATTGAGTGCCTTAAAACCTCTTACGTTGAGAGGACATGCTGTGCCATCTATCGGGTAGTGTTGCAACCTTTGGCGGTCCCGTATCTTTACTATTTCTTTTGCACGTCAATCTTTCTTTCTTGACTCAAAGAACTTAAATATGAAAAAAAACTACCATTTCTCATTAGTAGCACAAACATTTGACCTCATAAATACTACCAAACCTTCACTCTATTGAAATTCAGTTCCGGGCTCACTGCAAAGATGGCGCCAGCTTGTCTTCTTGTCATAAGAGATTCTATGAGGTTTTAACGCACTCGGTTCTAAAGGCTGGTAGGTTCGTCGTAACGTAACGTAAGGAGTTGAGCTCAGCTCAACTCTTCACACAGCACCGATTTCTTACGTTACGTCTAAGTCACCGCAACATTCGTGTTTCGAATGTCGCGTGCCAGGCTATCTCCTTGAATTGGTAGCCACGCTTGATACGAAGCACAGATTTCCCAGTGACTTTTTGTAACAGTAAGAAGATGGGGCAGTGTGAACGAGCCTTAAGGAGTCGGAGGTGTGTGAACGGGCCTTAATTCAAGCATTTTGTTCTCTCGGTCCAGTGCAGCGGTGCACGGCAGAGGGGCAACACCCACAGAGCTTGCTTCCGCGGGTGTTGCTTCTCCGCTGTGAAACAATGCTCGGTGAGAAGCCCGCTCAACGGGGCTCAAGAGCACACGTGAGCTAGGAAAACGAGCACCACGCGGGAATTTCCTTAGCAACTTGTGCAGACACCGTGACGTGGCGGCATGGCATAGTTCCACATCGCAGCACCCACGCAAGTTGTCATAAAAACTGCCACCCAAAGCCCATTTTCATCGCTTGTATGTCCCCTGCTTTATAGTCCACATTAGCCAACTTCTTGGCCCGATAAACTAACTTAATTTTGCTTTCAGTTGTCACGCGCTGTCAAGCAGTCCATGATATACTGTAAACGACTTATTTTTTGCGGGCTCAATATTTTGCGATTTAGGTCAAGGCTGAAGTTTTAGAATAATTCGCGGGCTCTAATTTTCGCGACGCGGTGGGATCTCAATATAGATTCCACTATGTTTACATTTTACCAGCATTGCTCACGGGACCTTTTTTTGTGAATTGCAGGCGATTCGTGAAATTTGCAAAAATTAGGATTTCGCAAAAATTAAGTTGTTTACAGTACACCATTTTTGAAAGATAATTAAACTTATGTCCTACATTTCACAAATGTTTCATGCGTGGCATACCTGCTTATAATCAGTGGAGAAGAAATCATAAAATATCTGCTTTGTATCTGTAGCCTTGAGATGGCAAATCATAATTTTATTTTGCATCATATTTAGTTGAATTTCTGATCATTCAAACTTCCAATAATTCACACAAAATTTGCAGTTTCCTGGAGTTTGAATTATTGAGAGTCTACCGTAGTAGTTTCAAACCATTCAGCCGGGCCACACTGCTTACACATCATACAAAAGACAATCTCCAGACAGATTCGAACGCAAGTCACCGCGAGATCCGTGCTTCGAATGCTACATGGCAATGAGTTAAAGAGAAAACTCGGCACCCGGCATTCGAACTGCGGATATTGCGGTGACTTGTGTTTGCTGCGGACTGTCTATTGTATGTTGTATGAGCTGCATGACCCCGGCTTTAAATATGCCCTCCTTCCCATGCTCCAGGTAGGAAGCAGAAGAATGTCCAGCGTCCAAGAAGTACGATCACACTCACCATCGGTTTGTCGTAGAATGGGAAGCCCTGCATCGACCTCAGTGCGTTCGTGGCACTGTTGAGGTCCTTGAAGACGACAAACGCCTGGCCCCGCATCTTGAGCGTCTTGAGTGCCACAATGTCCAAGATTTGGCCAAACTGGGAGAAGATGGCGTAAAGGGACTTCTTCAGCTCTGCAAAACATATGAGAAACAAGATGAGGGAGACGCACCAAAAGAGGACTGCACAAATATTAGTCCGTACCAGGGGTACAATCTTGCTCAAGGTGAGCGCGAGAGCGCATAGGATGTGGCGCCACAACTTGCGCGTGATCAACCAACGAAACATTTTAAACCTATTCTCAGGTTCACAATTGGGCAATATTTCGGTGAGAACGTCTCACCAGCATACAAATCAGGAGGTGTCTCAAGGCCTTCGATGCGCTCACCCTTATTACTCGCTCATCCACCGGTCGATGTCAGCTTGTGCACGGCAGCGGAAAAACTTGAGATTTGCAAATAAAGCACGGGTTGTGAATGACTTCCAACGTAAAAGAGCAGACCATCCCAATTCCAGTCTGTGTCCGATTTCACTTAGCTGCGGAGTTTGGTTTGTAGCGGACGAATAATTTTTTTCCCGGTCCGTTAGCAGACAACATACTATGTTTTCTCTTTTAATTTCCGCCTGTGAATGGCGCTTCATAGCAGACAAACTGCATTCTTCGCTCACATTAGCAGACAAACTGTCTATGAATGCTATCTTCGATTGCTCCGCTAGAGGCAAATTAGATCTCGCTCTCGTGGTGACCGAAATCAGACCCCAGGAGTTTGCTAGACTTGCTGCGTCGGTTCTTTTTACCCCATAGTCTTACATAGATGCTTAAAGGGAAGATGGGGCACTTCTACATTTGAGAAAAAACGCTTGAATTGCGTTCATTCGGCCTTCAGAATAACAGATATCAAAATTATATTTCAATGCGACGCGCCGGAGAGCCATACGAGCAATCTCAAAATAGGACTGAAGCCCCGCCTCCCTAGCCTTGGGCAGCCAAAAGATCTGTCGATGACGTCACGTACAGCGACTGTCTTTCGCGTTTTTCTCGCGTTTAACAATACTTACGCAGCAAATGGTTTGGGTATTGGGGTGACGGGGTAAAAGTACACTAGAATTCACTTCTAACTCATTTTTTCCAAGAAGCTCCGTAGCTTCCCTTTAAAGCATTGAGAGTCGTTGCCGTGCAGATACGGTGGCGTGGGAGCGTCCTGTATGGTCGCTGCTTGCATGTTTATTAGTAAAATCTTACTGAAACATGCCTATGCTTTTCTTCTTCATACCCACAATAGCTAGGCTGTTGGCATCTTTAAAATCATACACCAACGCGCAGCGCTGATGTCACGATGCAGCGATAGCGATAGGGCTGTGGGCGCAGTGTGAGCTCAAACGCTTCACTTCATGCGAATATGATTTCTGTGCATGCACAATGCCCACACCTTGTGGCCAACCTGGGGATGGATGGATGCTAACAGCTGTACCCTTCACAATGGGCGGTAACTTGCGCCACCTAGCCTAGAAATTAAAAACCAAAAATATGATTTCCTCTCTTTGCCAATTCACTTCCCTTCTGCGATTTCGTAACTATCACCAGAACGACCTTTGTTGGATCGGGTAAAAAAAGCTAAAACAACATCACCCCTTGTCTCTCTCCCCGGCAAGGGAGTCACCAATTTTCCTCTGGTCAAACCTAGTCGGCGTTGCCCCGGCACCGGGATCCAAAAATAGCACCAAGTTTCGCCTCGCACTAAACCACCACTCCCCTCTGTAGAGCCCCTCGGGGCCCTGAGGGTATTTGTAAATAAATTTCAAAGTGTTCGACCGAGTTGCCCGTATGCCAAATCATCCGTGGTCACTTCCACCGCGAAAGGGCCAAGTGCAATTGGCCACGCGAGCGGTGCTTCGCCGCCAATAAAAGGTTGTCGCATTGTATGCACGGGGGCTCTTTGGATTGCGGCGTGGGCGATGACGGTCAATAAACGACCACATGTTAACAAGCCAGCGCGTCGTGTCATTCTCAGAGACGGGTAGCAGCGAGGGATATCCTAACTTAAAGACAACTGCTTATTTAACATGTGTTAGACCCATTTTAGAGTATGCATGTGCTGTCTGGGATCCAGCCCAAAAAACGTTGATAGATAAGCTGGAGAAAATACAAAACAGGGCGGCTAGGTTTGTTCTTGGACGATACGGGAGGAAAGAAAGTTGTACAGAAATGAAAAAAATGTTAAACTGGGAACCACTTTCCGTACGTCGGGAAAAACTGCGACTAAAATTTTTATACTCAATAGTTAAAAATAAAACGGGAATAAATAGCGAGACTTACTTAAAAAAACCCTATTATGTTTCTAGTCGTAATGATCATAGTCTTAAAATTAGAGAGTACCGCGCTAGGACATGCATGTTTGCAAACTCCTTTTTTGTACGAACAATTGCACAGTGGAATCGGCTGTCTGAAGAGCAAGTGTGCTGTTTCAATGAAGACGTGTTCTTTTCATCCTTGTAACCCCCCCTGCTGTAACGCCCTCGGGCACTGCGGGGTAATCATTGAATAAAGAATAAAGAATAAAGAACCTGGAATGGGCAAACGCGGACTGTTTCGAAAACAGTGTGTCCCTCTATACTGCCCAACCTTCACAGTGCACATGGCTTTACCGTTCTTTAAAGGGTTGGACAACAATCTCATTAGGTTTACAGGTACCACCGTTTATGCATGGTCTTTTCCGCACGACACAGATGCAGTGCCAAAATTGCCAGTCCCCGCGCGGTGGGCATCTGATGACCCCGAAATATGTTAATCTCTTCAAGGTACAAGCACAGACCGTAATGCCATAAATGGAAATCGGCAGAGGTAAAGTAGCAGAACGATCTGATGGGAAATGCTTTAAGGCCAATGATGCATCTTCATGGAATAAGAGCAGCTGATCAGAACAAGAGTGCCATTACAGCTACGATTCCAAAAAGAATACACCATCTTCAGAAGCCGCAGGTTTGGAAGCATAAGCCGTTGCAATCGTGGCTGAGCGAGCAAGAGCACTTCACTTGAGGGAACGTCCCCATCTAACAGGCTCATTCCTTCCTCACCGACAGCTTTCAAGGTGGAAATTTGGAGGATAGTAGAGTGCTATGGCAACAAACTAGGTGTTGGTGTCAGTTGCCCGTTGAACCCTGTTCAAACGTCAGAGCCATCCAGTGGTTTAATATTTTTCAGATAAGAGACGAAACCTACAAAGCAACACTTCCAACTCGTAGAAGCCAAGGAGCTTGTAGTATGGTACTCTATACTCCGTTTAACAATAACTTAGCTAACTTTGGAGGTTATGGCTCCCACAACCAAATAAGAGTGCCGGAGCAAGGCACATAGCCCATGTCACAGGAGCGTCTGTGTCACGGCGCCAACTGTGAGGCCCAGAGGAACCGGTTGTCGTATGCTGGCCAAGAGTCGTCTGCTGCGAAGCCAACCAGCTTTAAGATGAACGTCCACCGCCAAAACACTGCAGTTCGCTAGAGTAGCAAGCTCTTCAAGAACAGTTCATGAGACAACCATACGCTCAATTCAGCCACGAATCTGTGCTGGGTGCTAATGCCAGGGTGATGTCTTGAGTGGAAGTGGTCGATTACAGGGTTAGGATCTTTTAAACATTGTTCAAAAGCCACGTTGTTCACGGAAAGGGTTGATCCCAATTAAGTAACATGCCTTTGTCTTTCTTCCGTGTCATGTAGCGCAATGTCGATAGAGATGCAATCGTGCGAGTTCAATCGCTGTTAAAAGAAAAAGAAGCCTAGAACTACTTTTTGTCATGGACGACGCTGCTGCTGAGGTGGTAACGAGGCCTTTGTGGCCTCGCCCATGAAGTGTTGTCACGTGCCTTGCTCCAACGCCCTTATTGGGCCGCAGAGGCCGCAGCCTCCACAGTTCGCCAAGCTATCGTGAAACGAAATATTGTGAAGACTCTACACATGGCTTGCACTGATGACACATCAGCTGCCATTGTGGCGGCCTTGATGCTGAGCGCACACCTTCTGCAGTTTACATTTTGCACCATCCTGAAATTGTTTTTCTCAGAAAGTAGGATTGACCACCCGCTTGATGCGATGACATCACGTGCAAGCCATGTACTATGCCTGGGTAATATCGCCATAAATGTAAGAACTGTTATTCTATTCTCCGTCTCACTAAAAACGTGCAGTACAGTCAAAGCTACAGGGGAGGGAGCGTATCCCGACCTGTTCAAGAGGAGGGAAATGAGGAACGGGGGAAACTCAGCCCTTGTCTCTCGTTCCTCCATTCCTTCCTCTTGGACAGGTTAGCATACGCTCTCTCCCCTGTAGCTCTGGCTGTACTGCACGGCTTTAGTGAGACGGAGTATAGACCCTTAGAGGTCCTATTTCGTCCCAGAAGATTGCAGGTAGTAGACGATGACAGTGTAACGTGCTTCAAACAAAGTGGCCTCCAAACGAAGTACTCTGGTTGAACACCAGGTGCAAGGAGCGCGCCCGCATGTACAGTCGCAATTCATGTCCAGCGGTTCACAGACTTTTTGCACAATGTTTACTGACAACACGGTGAGACGCCGGGAAAACGCGGACCGCGGTACGCAAGTGCAGACGTAATTAATTTCCAGCGATTCACAGACTCTCTTGCACAAGGTCCATCGACAACAGACGCCGGGAAACGCGGTACGACTTACCATCCTTCTTGACCTTCTCGTTCAGGTTGTTGATGTAGATCGTGTGATTCGGACGTATATCCATCATGTTTCTGTTCGGAAGAAGTTACAGACAACGCCAACAGTTAGCAATTACGCCGAGGCGGTGTTCTAGACCGCACAATGAAGAACGCTAACGTGACAAGCCGGTAATCAAACGGAGAGCGTCGTCCCCTAGACGCAAACGGTAGTACAGATTTGTAAAATGCACAGACGCCATGGCAAAATTATAAGATGTCTAAAGGCCGGATTGTCGGGGTAACGTTAATACTATTTGAAGGAAAACAATGCGATAAACTTACATTCTGTATCCAACACTCGCACACCGGCAAACGAAAATCGACGCACTCCAGGACTGGACGTATTAGTATTGTTATCTTTTGCAATGGGAAGTGGCGCTATTAGCCAGACAAAAAAAAAAAAGCAACAACAAGTTCAACCAAGAACAAGTTGTAACACATCCATGCATTTAAAATAAATAACTGCAATTAAATTTTAAAAAAATTAACACATTATATTACTTACACACTTTGAGACATATTTTTAGTAAGAAAAGTACAAAAAAAGTGGTCAGAACAACTGGAACAACCAAAACACAAACCAAACCAAACATAAGAGATCAAGCGAAATTGCGAGGTTAGCTAGCGAGGCAGAGTCGTTTATGCCGTCGCGTTCGCTCAGCCCAACGCTAGATTTGCACGAATTACGTCGATTAGGGAAGAATAAGGCGATAACGAGCGATATTTCTGTCTACCATCTTGAGAGAGCGGATCGTTGAGAGAGGGTGCGTGCGGCGTCCAGCAGGCACTCGAAGCAGGCGGCCTGAGAGCGGATCAAAATGGTACGTAGACCACTTTGCTTTCGAAGCGCATTATTGCCCGAAACCACAAACGGTTCTTTAAATCCCGCGTTAAACTAATGTGTTTGACCCGCGCTCAACGTATTTCGTGAGACAGTCAGTCCGGAATCGCCAGCGTGACCGGCGATTACGCCCACTACCCGACTGTGGCATGCTCTTTGAGCTACATCACTCACCGCAAAAAATGCGCAGTCTAAACCTAGCGCCCGTTGATAATACCGAACTTCTTTCTTTATTGTTTATATCTTGGCCTGCTATCACCATCTCCGACTTCAACAGGCGTGATGGTTCGCGCCTTGCGCGTCCCTGAGCGCAGTCGACTCGAATTCTTTGCGATAGCTATCGGTAAACACGACCTCGTCACAACGTAGCCGAGTGGTGGTGAGCGGTGAAGTCAGCTCATGGATCTTCCCTCGGATTAGCCGTGAGAGGATCCGCGAGGTTATCCGAGATGGATGCTCGAGTGAAAGCGTCGGTGTTGTCAACGTGATACGTCGTGATGCTAGGCGTAGCCAGCAAGGAGACCCGTGGAGATGAGTGACGCCGCAGAAATTTGCATGTACTGAAGACAGACTTGGCAGTTACATGACTCATAAGAGAAAAATAAATATTCCGGAAAGCTTTATTTGAAAGAGAAAAGCAATAGAACTACTATTAGGGTCACTCAAACCCACTGAACCCTACAATCTTTGTATATTATACTGTACAGCCCGTGGCAGGATAAGAAACACATTAGCCATATGAAACAGCAAAGCGTTTCTGAAGGCGTTTTTCCATTCTGGTGTCACCACCACCGTGCAATTGATGAACAGATGGGCTCCATCTGTTCACCAATTGCACGATGGTGTAGCCATCTCATAGCCGTCGTCGTAAATACATTTAACGGGGTGACATGCCGCTAAATTTAGCAAGATGTCAAAATGGGTCATACGATCACCTAGCTAATGCCTTTACGGTGTCGCACGACTTACGATGCAAAGTCGTGATGTCCCTCGACGTCTAGGTGCCAATAACGTTGTTCTATCTATAGTAACGTTAGGTGTCGAGTCCGTCGTGGTGCCACGTGACGTGAAGTCCGTCCGTGGCACTAAGGTTTGGCAGCGTCACATCACAGTGACGTCGTGCCATCGCATTGCCCAGATTTGAGCATCTGTCACTAGTGCGCATTTTGCCTTTGGTACGTTAGGGTAATAAAGCAAGCGAGCACCTTAATTTCTAAAAATCTACTAATTGCAGTTGCCTGTGACTCTACCTTGTTTACACTTTGACAATGACATTGCTCTAAACATGTAGCATTAGTGATTAGTACTTTGATTATGATTCTAACTAGAGCTTGGTATTTCGGTAAATACTAATAAACCCCTAAAATTAAGCCTTGACCAGGTTTCATCATAGGGAAAAGCCGAAAAACTCACAGTTGTTAAAACCATCATGAAATTAAAAGATCAAATAAAAAACCCAATTGTTTTTGGAAGAAAGTTTTTCTTTAGCTTTATTTTGTGTTTACCTGGACACAGCACCTTTTGAACTAAGTGCAAAACTGCAAGCTTTCGTGGTGTTTTCCAAGTTTCGAGTCATCCGCTTGTTTCCTGGAGCTTAAAAAAATACCTCCCCCCATCTCTTTCCTGTTTTTCTAAATAAAAACCCGCAAAAATGCAGATTTCTTTTTGTCTGACCCTAAAAATTGGCATTGCAAAACCCTTGGCTCTGTGGCACAAAAAAGAACCCAGGAAAACACCCTCGTGTTTTCAAGAAAGATGAGCCCCGAAAACCCGGAACCCTAATTATAACTGAAGTGATCATGCACGAGAGCGCCAACTGCCTCGTTTTAATGTGTCTAATTGCAGCTGCCAGGCACACCACTTTGTTCACAAATAAAAAAAAAAAAGGGAGATGACCGACCGAGCCCTAATTAGAGACCCAACGTTTGTCTAGTTTACAATGCCATTGCTTGAAACGCGTTGTGTTCACAATTACTTCGCTATTGATTGTAACCGAAGTGGTCACCTAACCGAAGTGGTCGCTATTGATTGTAACCGAAGTGGTGGGACGAGGTCCTCCCCCCGCTGACATCACGGCGCTCCTTGGCCACAGGCGTTCTTTGGACTCGGCCAGAGCGCCGACATCGACATCATCCTGAGTGGGACAGAGAACCGCAAGATGGCGGAGATGAAGACGGAGGACGGCAAGAAGGAGAAGCATCTGCTGTTCTATGACGGTGAATCAGTCTCAGGGAAGGTGAACGTGACCCTCAAGAAGCCCGGCTCCAAGCTGGAGCACCAGGGAATCAAGATTGAGTTCATCGGACAGATAGGTGCGTGCCGCTATGCACTTGCGTGGCTGTGCAAAATGAATTTTCCTATCATGCTGAATTCTGAGACACGATTGACCTCCCACTCCGTGAAATTGTTGAAATTGCTGCTGCGTATATTTCTTTGCGCTCGGTCCGAGGTGAGCAGATGAAAAAATATTCCGTGTATGTTTGGTTCGCAGAGAAGGGAACAAGCACTTCTTTAGACCAACACGCACTTCACAAACAAGTCTGGGTACGGCCACACCAGGTTGTGTTTTGGTGTATACCATGCAGCCAGGGGGTGGGTTTCAGTAATTAACCTTCTGCCTCCCTCCAAAACATAGTTGATACTAGTGATGGACCAAATCTGCCGAATTTCAGATTCGGCAAAGTTCGGCGAAAATTCGGCAAATGTCGGCACACACGCGAGAACGCGAAGGGGCCATGGATTGCAAATAAATGCCGTGCGGTCGTGTAGATAGTTACCATTGTACAGTGTAGAACAACCAGTGGTTACGGCGAGGTGTGGGAGTAGACAACACGGTAACTGCGTTTGTCAGCCTTTGAGAGTGTGGTTCTCTTCAATAGTTTCTGCCTCAAGGACAGAAGATCGGCCAGTAATTTACGCAGTCCTCTGCGCAAGGGGACAGATGATGCGGTACATTCTGGATGATGCAATTTTTATTTGACGTTTTTTAGTGATGCAACGAGGTAGTTAAAGCATTGACTCACAATTACATTAAAGCACTCCTTGCAATTATAACAATCCTGTTTTCGGCTCACAAGAAGTTTGTGCCAAAACAAAATAATACTGCTTTTTAATTAGTATTATTTTGCGGTTTTCATGTATCAACATAAAACTAAACACAGAACTATTGTGCTTGACGTTGCATATCCGACATTCCTAACTTCCCATCTTCCTAAACGTCCGTGTGTGTCCTAACACCAGAAACCGGCATTTTAAAGGTTAAAAATGAGACGTTGTGAATATGGACGCACACTTCCATGCAAAGCTGACATCAAGTGACTCAAATCGAAAAGCATCCATATTGACAATAGTATTGTTATCATTTCTGGTGAAGGCTCAGTAACTGGCATTCACTTTTGCGCTGGAAAGGTGACTCCCAGAGAAAGTAAAAACGTAGTGTTATTGCCTTTGTATTTACACCACACGCACAGTCGCAGGCATGCGCTGATAAGGCCTTTAAACCAAAACACTCGTAGTGCGATTCGTGACTGCCACTGATCGTGACTGCGCACTGCGCTTGCTGCTACCCGACGTTGCTACTACCCAACCTCGTTGTCACGCCACTTCTGCAAGAAGTCACTAAAATTACCAGTAAATACGCAAAAACAAACCGATAGAATTATCTTGTAGAATATCACATTATTTAGTAATAACTGTGCCAATATGCATTGCATGTTGCATATAAGTTAAGAAAAATACAACATAAAAGCTTTTTTCGCCAGAAAAAACTAAATATCAGCATCAGTCTAGCAACAATGTATTCTTGCCGAATCTTTTCCGAATCTTTAGAAAAGTTCGGCAAAAGTTCGGCTTTGCCGAATCCGAAGATTCGGCGCCAAACTTTCGATTCGGCAACAGTTTGGCCCATCACTAGTTGATACGCTAGCGCACATTAGCATGGCTGCTTTTACGTTCAAAAACCTATGCTGTTCTTAAAGTTTACACAAATTACAAACAGCGTTTGAGAAAGTAGCACCATTTTCCCTCGAATTCAAACAAATTCCTTACGATTGCATAAAACAAAAAATGAAGGAGCAGTGTTCTTGTGTTGTCAATTGTTGTGCACAATTTTTCCTCTTTCTTTGCCGTTCATTAGTGTTATTGTTGCCATTTAATAAGACAATGTTTTGAGTGATACTGGATGCCATGGTCCCCATACAAGCACTCGCTTGTTTTTGTGGGCCATTTAAACCAAATGTCCCCAAACTTTTTGGCTGAGGGGCTGGATTAGAGATATGTCGTAGTCTCGAGGGCCGGGTAAAAAAAAAAAAGTAATCATAAATGAAGAAAAACTAAATGAATACACATAAATAGGCATTTAAACACAGAAGTGAATGTTAGTGTGAGTATTAAAAAACCCTAAGTGGACTATTACATATGCTTGAATTTGAGATTTAATATTTATTGAATTATAACAGTAGGCAACACGCAAAGGCCATGAGAACTCGCCAACTACAGAAAAGCCATAAAAAAAAAGATGGCGAATAATTAGGCTAGAAGGCGCAAGCTGCTGCCTGTTACAAAGGGTATAGCCATTACTATCCATCCATCCTCGGCAGTCATTATTCGAAGCGCATGGAAAATTTGGCACATTCGTGCAGTGCAAAAGTATAATTAGAATGACAAAACTAATGCTGATATGCGATAGTTGCCACAGAGTACAGAGACTGCAATGTACACGGGAATGCAATGGAATGTAAACATAGTTAAACTGACATGAAGGGACTAAGAACGGTAGTGCTGGTGATGACAATGTTCAATTAATACGGCGAAAGGTTGTTAGGATGTAGTTTCATCTTTCTGGTACGCAGGGTGTCTAGCTACCAGAAAAACCGGGTATTGTCAGAGAAATTTTAATGGCCGGGAAAAATCATAGAATTGTCAGGGATATTGTCAAAAAACGATCCCAGTCGGGGAAAATGAGCCGGAAACGCCATCAAGTGCCCTAAGCAAAAACTTGAGGACTTGGGGGCAGAAAAACGGGCAATAAATTTATTAAGAGTGGAGCACGAGCTCTGCTCACGTGATGTAGAGTGTGCTGCCCGAACCGATGCAAAGGGAGTAGCCGACAAATCTAGTCCAAGCCTTGTATTGTATTGGATTGGATAGAGGGTGTGACAATAGGCTAGATTCAGTCAGAGCTACTAGATTTAGTAACAAATGGGAAAGCCACAGACCCCAATCCAAGCCTTAGAGGGGCCCTGCAAGGACTTTTTCACTGGTTTTTAATTTGCGTTGAACCTGAGCGCACTGAACTTAGTAACTTAATAAAACTTTTCTTGAATTTTGCTTTATTTTAAAAGTTATAGGCAAATCAAAATTAAAAGAAACAAGCAAAGAATAACCTCCTTCATGACGTCCTTGGTTGCTTGAGTGGCCGTGAACTAGGGGAGGGGTAGTGAGCTCAGCGAGCGGTCACTGCTGCCACACTCTGTGTCGACGGCTCGAGAGGGCGCCACTAAAGCATGTTCTGGCTAGACTGTATAAAGCAGGCAACCAGGGCGGCTCACATTGCATTTGCTGCGCGATTAAAGACTAATTCGGCATGACACTTCATTGGCCACAAACGACAGCAAACACGGAATAAAGATCAGTTCAGAACGGGAGCCACTTCGTGCTGCCATACCGCCAAAAGGCCAGACCGCACGCCAAAGCTTGCTTGCCGAAAGCCTTCGGAACGCTCGGAACTGGTCGGATGCTCGAACCGGTATACGACCGCAGCGCTGCCATGCACCTTTGGGACCTTTCTACACTCGCCGCTTGTCGGTGCTTGATCCCACTACCCCTTTCTAGTATGCGCCGCCTTTTCCACCGTTTGGTGGCAGGTATGTCAACGGGTCATTTCTTGTTTCTGTACTTTATAAACCGCATTTGTTTCTTTTCTGATCTAAAATAATGAACAAAAACTACTTTTATAAATAATTGAAATGGTTTGCACCACTTATATTTTGTATTTTGACTAAAAAGAAACTTTTAGCGGCTCTGACTGGTAGTAAGCCCAGGACCTAAGACGTTACATATTGTGCACTTTCGGCACAGCGGGTCGCCCCCGTAGGTGGAACGTCGTCCGGTTAAAATATGACGCACTGGTATTTAGTTACTCTCTCCGTGCCCGCTGGCTTGCCCGAACCCCAAAAGACGTGGAAACCGCAAAAAAGATAGTCGCTTAAATATGATTGCAGGGTCCCTTAAGCCGAAAGTATCCGAAAGTGCATCTGGCGGCCATGCTGCCATTCAGTTATTGACGTGCATGGTTGAGCGTCGTGTTTTTATCGTGTTTCCGGAAGCAGCCTCTTCACTGACGATGTTGGCGGCAAGAAAGCGCTCCTTTAGTCCGGACTGGACGAATCCGAATATTTCGGAACATGCAAGTTGGATTAAGCCTGTACAAAATGATGCTCACAGTGCTGAATGACCAATGCCTTGTGTTGTAATGGTTTTATATATTTAAGTGCCTCTACCATGGTCAGGGAATTTGACCTGAAATTTTCAGGGAATTTCGAAATAACAATTTGCTTGACACCCTGGGTATGTTAATTTGCGCATTTGGTGCGCGTCTCGGCTCTGTTCCTTTACGCGCACTTCTTTCTGCACCACTAGCAGCGGTCTGCTGTTAGTGGTGCAGCGGACACGCCAGCAGCAGTCGGGGCTAGCGGTATGCAAGCTGGACTTCATCGGAAAGACTGCAGACAGCCGTTGCGGGCAGGTCGGAAGACGTCGGGGGCCGGAGGCCCCTGATCTAAACCATTATGTGCATATAATTGTGTGATAAACTGATATTCTTATTATTAATTTCATTTATCCATACTCTCAGCCCTTGAGGGTGATTACAGGGGTGGAAATCACTATACATATGAATTGCAAAATAATAAAATAAAATGTAGACGTTAACACTAAACAGCTGCCCTATGGACCATAAATGAACAAAGCGCATGTCGAGAGAAAATTGTTATTATAATTCTTATCCTCGAAGAAAAAAAATTCCTGCCGGGTCCTTGAGTCTCGACGACGGCGGTTGTTCCCTTGCAGAGCTGTACTATGACCGGGGCAACCACCACGAGTTTGCGTCGCTCGTCAAGGAACTGGCGCGTCCCGGAGAGCTGACCCAGAACGCCAGCTACAGCTTCGAGTTTGTCAATGTGGAGAAGCCCTACGAGTCCTACACAGGCTCCAATGTCAGGCTGAGGTAGGTTCACTCGACTGTGGTCGCTGAAAGCTTAAGGCTCTGTTATACTCCCGACGTAACGCACGCGCAGGCGAACGCTGGCCGAAGTCGGCTACGTCACGTCAGTCACGCCGCGCGCGTCAAAAATTCGCCCTCTTTATACTCCGGCGGCCCTGGCGACTCCTGCGGCGCGCGTCGGTGAGCCGCCGGCGCGGCGCATGCGCAGAGTCTGACTGCAAGGGCACGTTTCCTGCGAGAGGGCGCCACTTCCGGTTCCTTTTCGTTTCATATAGCCCAAATAGCAGACGAAAATTCTTGGGCTTCTTGAGCGCCAAGCTCGAGCGATGGCGTCGACGTACCTTGCCCGACGAAAACTCGCGCACTGTTGGTGTACCGCCTGCGCCGCAAGCGTAGGCGGTCAATGTACATACGGTACATCTCTGACAAGCGCACGGTCTGCGGTACTCAAGCTTCCTCGAGTCGTAGACACACGGATGAGGACGAATTCCCTCGATCAGCTTCTTGACGACCGAGTCCGACTCTTCAAACATGATGCACCACGGAGTGGTGCAGCTGGTGCTCCCGTCGTCTGCTTCCCGGGCGAGGGCTGCCGGAGCCAGTGCGTGATGCATCCTGGTCCGGCGCGGCCGGCGTGGCCGGCGCGAAATACGGCATGCTCCATTTTGGCGTCGAGGCGGTCAGACGGCGTCGAACGCCGCCGGTCGCGTCGGTTACGACACGACGCCGGAGTATAGAGCGTCGGGTCTTCGCCGACGTGACGTCGCTGTGGCGCGCTCGCACGTGCGCGCGCGTTACGTTGGAGTATAACAGAGCCTTTGGGGGAGATTCACCCACTCGTCACTGAACGGGCAAATTTCGCTACTCAAACCTGAGTTTCAGGAATGCATGAAGGTTGATTCTTTCGGAGGGTCATTACAGAGACGTAATGAAGGTTGTACGGCCCTCAAATTTTCTCCTGAAAGCGCCGTTGGTTTTAATAAAATCCAGAAATATGACTGCTTTAACTGTTCGGAGTGCATTTTCAGGCAATTTAAAATTATATTACTTCGAAGTAAAAAAAAACAAAAAAACAAAATTAAAACGTATGGTAGTACGTGCTAAAGGCTTCTTCAACCTTAGTTTTAATACCATGGTGAGAAGACTGTATATTGTAGTATTTTCATATTTCTGTAAATAAATTTGACAGGACAGATTTATTTTTAATAAGTGCAACGAGATGGCGGCACCAGCATTAAGTGCCCCGAGCAAGAACATTAGTTGTTGTTTTCTTTTCTCGAGCTCGCACGGATGGCAGCTTGCGGCGCGTGTTTGCCGCCAAGCTCGGTTTTCGCCCGTCGGCGAGATTTCCCGGCGTTCAGACAATAATCCGCGCCGCACACACAATAAATGTGACCAATGAGAGGCAACCGGTGTTTGACGTAAAATGCCGTGGCAATGTGCAAATTGCAATGTCCCGCTGCAGCGAGCGGCACTTTTACTTTCAAATAGACCGTGTGGTCTATGCCATGAGCTGTGCCATCAATCCATCAATAAGAACATGCCACGTGACCGCGTGCTCCGCGTGCCCGCAGACCAAAGCAAAAAGGCATATGCTCTCTTTAAGGTCCCTCAATGTGCTTATGATTGTCTTGCCAGAAGCGTCGAATGAGCCAATGCACAATGTCCATGCCTCGTGAGGCCTTAGAAGCAAATGGTGGTGCAGCGCTCGCTCGTGGCACGTGTCTCGAACGTTCGTGCAACAGTGGCTGTTGGTACTTGCAGGGGTGGTCTAGTCGCGCCATTGGCACCATTTTGATCAATTCCTGCTTGCCTGCGCCTCGCTGCACCCATAGGGAAAAAGTTGCGCCATACTGCGCCGAAGCAAACCAATCTGCGAGCGAATTGTTATTTGAAAAAGTTTTCGTTTTTGTCTGGCAACTTTGGGAATCCAGTGAGGTTTGAACATGTGGTGTTGAGGTGCTCAGGGCTAGCTGCCGCCGTCCCGGAGGGGGCGACAGATTTAGCCGGAGTGCTGGGGTGTGCATACGAGAATGGAAAAATGGATGATGAGTGAATTTTAATAACAAAGAGGAGATTAGAAGACTGGTGGAAATTATCTAGGAAGAATTGAATGATGTGCAAGTAACTGACACAGCTGGGGACAGGAGGGACAGAGGAAAATTGGGACTCCCTCCTGGGTTTTTCCAGCCCAAAGCCTCCATCCAGTCTTCCAGCAGGCCCGGTGCCAGGTAATGCCGACTAGGTTTGACCAGAGGAAAATTGGCAACTCTTTCGCCGGGGAAAGGATGCGGGGGGTAAAGTTTTGAGTTCGTTCTGCCCTATTCTCCAAAGGTCATCTTGGTGGCATCCCACACCGTTTGGTGATAGTTACGAAATTGCAGACGGTAAGCAAATTGGTGAAGGAAAGAAATCATGCTTCTGTTTCTTAATTTCTTTGGTAGGTGGCGCAAGCTGCCCGATATTTGTTGACACCAAACTCCATGCGACGAACGAGTGACGTCGAATGCCGCCGAGGTCGGTACACGCGAAAGAGGCGTCGGTTGCGTTGGCGGCTCCACAAGTCGCGACACTACGTGCTGGCAACCAGCTTGCACGACCAACGCACAACACAATCTGCAGATGTGGTTTTCCCCAAATAGGTTCAAACAGTTAGAATGTGGTTCTAGCTTCGTAGTCGGTCGGTAATCGGAGCCAGTTCCACATCACTGGCTCGTGTCCTACGAGCATCTAGCTCCAGCTTGCCCAGATTGACGGCGAACAGCCCGTGGCTCGAGCCGACCCAGAGTGCCCAAGCTGCATACACAGCTGGGAGTGAGTCGTTTGTTCCAGAAAAACAGATAGTGCCATTAAGGAGGAAAAGGCTACAAATAAATTGCGGGTGAATCCCTTTTAAGAAAGGTGAGTCCCATGCATTTCACGGTTGCTCCGTAGCCAATGAGATTCCAATGTTGGTCGATAGGAACGCCCGAGATTGAGTCCGAAGCACCGAGGTGTGAATTGATAACAATATTTATAGCAAATCGCTAGGCAATTCTGTTGCATACGCGAAACATTCAAGCATCACAAACATTTAGCAATGCTCCAAGTTTCCAGACGCCTACGTTCACGGCACTCTTCATCAGATAGTTTAACGCATACTATGTGTACACTCGATAGTTGTTCCTAGAATGAAGCGATACTGCCACTAATCGGGCTGATAAATCCGGCGATCTTCCTGAGCCTTCCATACTCTCAAGCTCCTCTCCCTCTGTGACCCTCAGTGAGCACAGGAGGTCAGGATACTCCTCCTCCCCTACCTCACTCCCCCTCGCCTACCCCTCTGGTCGCGCGACCTCCCCGTTAACCAATAGGCTTCGAGCACCTCACCCTCCCTCTCCCACCCGTCAACCAATCGGTGTCAAGTTTCACAGCCACACTTTTATCCGGGCTTCACAAAATGCCGAATGCTTAGCCAAAGAACATTTCACATTAATCGGTGATGTCCTGCATTTTTTTAATCTGCGATCAAGTATAATAATGGTGTGAAGTTTATGTAGCCATACATTCCAAGTTTTAATACCTTACAGTGCTGTTTTCATTTTGGGTAACGCCCATAATGCGACAACATTAGAGGTGTCATCGCGTTACAAGTTTTTTTTTTAGGGAATTGCTGAAGCCTCTTTCTGACTTGTCGGTGACGCCAATGATTTTGAGAAATTTTCTCAGCTTTTCAAAATGGCGCAACAAAGTCAAAGAAACAGGAGGAGAGGGGAAAAAAAATTTCTTTGTTCACTCCCGTCTTTCCTACAATTGTTTCAGCATTCACGCCTGTGTCTGCAGTATGTGCGAAGAAAGTTTACAATGTTGTTTTTGTTTCACTGCAAAAGTAAACTATGCATTAAAAAGCTACGAGCGATTTTTGGAAAGATTAAATGGGAAAAAGGTGGCCGACAAAGCCCACAAATACGTAGAGATGAATGGCTTTAGTTTCTGGGAATGGGCCCCATTTTCTAATTTAAAATTTCTGAAAATTGCTTATAACTTGTTGATCAGATAACGGTAAGCTCTGAAACTTTGACACATGGCCTCGACCGCTAGTGTTACATTTTGGGGGGAGACTGAGCATTCGGTGGCAATGCATAGTTAGTTTTTTCGATAAAAACAACCCTCAAATGCTTTTCACAGTCACTTACAGACTTATAAGTGGCTTTTCAAGAGGTGTTTCAGGCACCATAGTTCCCATCCACATTGTCGATTCTGAGGAAAAAAACAAACACTTAAATCAACTTCCGCGCCTATGCTAGGGCAGTGTAAGTTATAAATTACCTGGGAGCTGTTGCGACGTCCCTGGAAGGTGCGGTGTGGTGAGCGATGCCCGGCGTGGTTCCCCGCAGGTACTTCCTGCGGGTGACCCTGGTGCGTCGGCTAACCGACCTGGTGAAGGAGATGGAGATGGTGGTGCACACGCTGTCCTCTTACCCCGAGATCAACTCCTCCATCAAAATGGAGGTGGGCATCGAGGACTGCCTCCACATCGAGTTTGAGTACAACAAGTCCAAGTGAGTGTGCCCCTCCAAGTAATCTTCTGTAGAAAACAATAGAGAAACCAACGACTCTGGCTGTCGTTTGACAGCTTATTTGTCCTTGGCCATCAGGCTGCGATGTACAGACTAGGAGAATGTTTTGCGATGCCTGTGCAAATGAATGACTGGTGTAATGTATTGTTACGAGTAAAAGGGGAAGATGGATTCAGAACTGAAAATAAACGTTTGAATGAGGCAAACTTGTGCCTACAAACGAAAGAGGAAGGTACCACGGTGACGGAAGGGTGACTGTTCCGAAACGGGTCGTCACCGCTGCTTTTATGCGCTTGGTACTTTCGGGAATGTTCTGAACCAGAACACACGATTACAGCCAAGAATGAGCAGGAACTTTTCAGAAAAGTTTCCAAAGAAGAAAAAACTGGGTCGAGCGGTGTTTGAACCCAGTTCTTCTGCGTGGCAGCCGCGTGTGCTGCCAGCTCCGCCACATGTGCGACAAGATAGAGCTCTGTTTTCAAGCTACGCTCAAAAGTCGAACCCAAATGACCGACTCTCCATAGAGTTGCAGGGTCGGTAGCAATGTTTCTGCTTCAATGTGTTAAGCTAGAATAATGCAGACAGCACCTCTCTACACGCTCGCATGCCCTCGCTTGATTCGTAATCTAAGAAACTTGGTACTCCGCATGGCGTGTGCCGAGCATTTTCGGCCACGTGCTCGCATTGCAGCAGACGCGAGTTAGACCTAGGGTTTTGTCACATTATACTGTGTTCAATGAACGGTGACGTGTGGTCCCAGGTACCACCTAAAGGATGTGATCGTGGGCAAGATCTACTTCCTGCTGGTGCGCATCAAGATCAAGCACATGGAGATTGCCATCATCAAGCGGGAAACCACGGGGTCGGGTCCCAACACCTTCAACGAGAACGAGACCATCGCCAAGTACGAGATTATGGACGGCGCGCCGGTCAGGGGTGGGTGTCTACCAAGCTCGTATCAAATACTCAAAGAATCATTTATGTAACTATTAAATAACACGGGCCCCCAAAGTGTTTTCCTGGGGAATACACATTCAATTTTAACTGTACTGCTTACATTATTAATTATTTTAGCTAATTGTAACCTATCCTTAGAATACTTAAAAAAAAATTATTATAAGACAGACCTCTGAAACCTCATCTGTCAAGCTTATCTAGCATTAGAAAATGGTCAGTAGTATCGAAAGCCTTCAATAGATCTATAAACAGTGCTAGTGCAATCTTATTGTTGACCAGTGCTTCACTAATGCAATCTGCAAAATCTTCTAATAGTGTAATAGTACTTTTTTTGTTGTTAAAACCCATATTGGGTATTACTTAATAAAAAAAATTTATTGCAGAAGCTAGTCATCGTAATTTGCACCCATTTTTTTAATTATGAGTTAAAACATCTGATTCCTGATGTTTTCCATTTTTATATAGGCTCTTGGGAATACTTCTGGTATAAGAGACGCCATTAATAATTTTTTGTGAGGTCTGCTTCGGTTTATCAAAATTATACCTGATATCTCCGATCCCATTGTTGTCAAACTCTGGTGGCTTAGTTATTGACATAGAATTAATAATTCCCAAAAGGTCATCGCTTATTATATGAGGCAGATACGCTGGATTAAAGCACTTGACTTGTAGAATAAAAGGAAAATTGTGACTAACCGATGGAATCTCATTTTTTATCTCTTTTACGGAGTTGATAAAACATTTGTTAAAAGACTGCTAAATCCAGATAAGAAGTTGACCCTCGAAAATGTTTCTGAATTGTGTCGTCCACACGAGTTTTAGTTGTCCTGCCAATTAACTGGTTTGCTAAGTTCCAGGTTTCCTCAGAATTGTTTCTTGATTGAATGAACCGATTTAAATAATGTTTCCTTTTTGCTAAGCGTATTTTTCACGAAATTCATTTCTTAGCTGGGTGTTTCCTGGATTTTGGTTAAATCTGTACCAAAGTTTGTCCTTATAGTAAACTAACTCTAACATTTCCTCATTGATCCAAATGTTCTCGGGCCTCTGTTTCATCACCTTTACTCTCCTGGTACTATTGGAATAAATGTTTGGAAAATATTCCACATGTTTATCATAAGCTGTAGTTTGATTGCACTGTAACAGAGAGTTCCAGTTGAACATAATTAAGTTATCAATTTTTTTGTTGTCCAGTATCACTTTGTGTCATTTCTGTATCTGGATTTTCAGCAACCTCTCCTAGTATTAAAGGTATAGTAAAGTAATAATCAGCTATTTTTTTATTAACAACTTCGGATAATAGTTTTAAATTACCAAATCTCATGACTATATGATCTATATATGATTTCATAATTTGATTACTATAGGTGGTATTCACTGAGCCTGCAGGTTCGATTTTGCCAGGGAGCGCCACCGTCGATCCGCCATCTTCGAGGTCTCGGTTTGACTGGCTTGGGTACGCTACGCGGTCGTCCGCTGCTAGTGTGTGCTAATTTCATATTGTTGAAGCTTCGTTGAACAGAAGAGAGAAGAAAAGTTGGTCTCGGGGGCGGGCCGTTTTCCTTGTTGCCGCCGAGTACCGTTTGTAAAGGCTGAACCGCATGTAAGCAATTTGGCGAGCGACGGGACGAGACGAGCGACAGCGACGAGACAAGCGACGACGACTACCCGCTTCGCTGTCGCTCGGTCACTCGCGCAACGTGGCAAACCGCATGAAAGCGACGGGAGCATGCGACCAAGGCGATAAGCGACTCTTTCTAGAAATCCAAAAATCGAGCGACGCGACGACCGACCGCGAGAAATCTCCGTCGCTTGTCGCCGACTCCCGTCGCTGTCGCCATCGCTCGCTAAATCGCTTACATGCGGTTCACCCTTCACTGTCACTCGTCGCGGAGCTCGGTTTTGAGATTTTTAGAAAACTTAGCGCTCATCGCCTTGGTCGTGTGCTCCCGTCGCTTTCATGCGGTTTGCCTCGTTGCGCAAGTGACCGAGCGGCAGCGAAGCGGGTCGCCGTCGCTTGTCTTCCCGCTCGCCAAATCGCTTACATGCGGTTTTTAAATCGCTTGGGCTAATGAAAAACGCCCTGCATTTTTTATAAGCTGGGCACTCTGTGAGCCGCACGGTATGTTTCTGCACAGGAACGAACACCGAAGGCACAACCCAGGTGAAAATGTTGCAAGTGGAACCACTTGAAGAGGTCCCACTTGAAGTGGTTTATCGAACAGGCACCACTTGGCAGGTGGAACCACTTCAAATGGGACCGCTTCAAGTGGGACCACTTCAAGGGGGACCGCTTCAAGTGGTCCCACATCAAGTGGGACCACTTCAAGTGGTCCCACTTGATGTGGGACCACTTGAAGTGGTCTCATTTGTTGTGGGACTACTTTAAGCGGTCCCACTTCAAATGAGACCAGCTGTGTTTTCCGTAAAAGACTTCATAATCATGGTCAAATATGTAAATCCATATTTTATTTCACACCTTTGATTAGCAAATACAAAAGGAAATGTGTCCTGAGAGTCTAAATGAGCCTTGAAGTATTAACATTATATCAGTTTACTTTTTTTTTTTTTTTCATATTACATTAAGCACACGGGTCAAGAAGTCATTCTCGATTAACTTAACATGGCCCCACTTTTTCTAGTACAAAACGACGTATGCTTCATAAAGAAAATCTACATGCTTGGGAAAAAATTAAGTTACCTTATTTAAAAGCAAAATTAGATTGAAAAAAGTTTCAAACAGTCGGTATAGGCCACAGATATCACAAAATATACTTTAAATGAGAAATAATTTAATTAGAGCAATATGTACGGGGCGAGGTCCATTTTAGTTTGATTTCATCTGTAGCCACTATTCGAAGGAAAATGTCAAACTAATAGTAACCCTTTTTGCAGTTTCCCATTTGTTTGGAAGGAATGTACACATACAAAGAATACATCAAAAGAAGTATATACATCTGAAATTCCTCTTTGCTAAGACAGCATTAACAAACAAAACTTCAACAATGGTAGCGTCAAGAATCACAGAGTGAATATAATTAAACTATCTAAAGTAGGATATAAAAACAAAATCATGTCTACCTTCATTCACGAAAATGAACAAAAGACACTAACTGTCACATTATTAAAACCAAGAGCTGTTCACTAAACAATGCATGTACATGGAAACACTTCAAATAAACATATCAAATCAGGAGACATCAAACTGGTAATTGGGATAGAATAATGCTTGCAGGATAGGTACAGTCTGGGACAAAAGTTTCCACACTACGGGAGCTGTGGCCGATTTACATTGCTGCACCCTCCGATGACTCGGCACCTGGCGTTGAGACCGGTGCTTGGCTCTGTGCATTCTTCCATACTCGCAGGGATGCCAATTTCCTCGCTTGCGGCTCCCGTGCCTCGATTGTTGGTAAAATGCCGCGTGGCACTGCTGCTACATCCTTTACTGTTTATCAGTTCAGGTAAGGAAACATTAAATGTAAAAATAAAGTTTATCATAATAAGCAATAACATTCAGACGGCGTTCAGGAAGGCATGCTATCACTGGCAATGGATACTAGTTGGGTTGAGTGAAAAGAGCTGGCGAAAAAGGCACGCCACCGTAAAAGCTGGTAATATCTGCGAATCCTTCCTCCGCTGATTCACGGGCACCTCTTACCACTGCTGCTTCTGAAGCAGCATCATGTGACAGGTTGTCAACAATCGGAGCGCGGGAGTTGCAGACGAGGAAACCGGCATCCCTGCAAGCATCGCAGGATGCGCATGCGCTAAGCGCCGGTCTCGACGCCAGGTGCCGAGTCATCAGAGGGCGCAACAATGCAAATCTGCCACAGCTCCTGTGGTCCGGAAACTTTTGTTTCCAACTGTACATGCCAAAGAAAAGCGGCGTAATACACATTTTTTTCACATATGGCAGAATTAAAAAAAAAAAGGTGTTCTAGGTTTAACTGATATGTGCAGGGGTAAACCTTCAATATTCCCATTTATCTCTATCCTTGTTCATATTGCATCTTCCGTAGAGACCCCCTAACTAGGCATGGGCGAACAGTGCTCTGAACTGAAAGGTTTGCATTTTTTGTAGCTCTTACAGCACAATTGCATTCCTACTCCTAAAGGCTGGTTCACACTCTTGCAACTGAGTACGACCGAGAGAGACAAGACCGGTTTTAATCCTCTTGCAACTTCTTAGTACCAGCTCCGCAGCAGCGCGCCTGGTCCTAAGAAGTCGCAAGAGGATTAAAAACCGGTCTTGTCTCTCTCAGTCGTACTCGGTTGCAAGAGTGTGAACGAGCCTTAACTCACAAAAAGCTGTTTTAAATCCCCGCCTCTGCTCAATTCACATGTCCAAACGCCTCATGCTCTTGCGCACATCTTGGATTTTTTGCGACAGAATAGTTGACATGTTCTTGAGGGCGTGTGTCACAGATATTCCTGTTCGGGATCCCCAGTATGTCACTGTCTCTGCAAGACAGCAGAAAGCAAAGTGTATTACGCACAGATCACACATACAAAAAATATGTGCAAACTTACCAATCACCAGGGCCACTTTTTCAGGGGTCATCTCCTTCCTTGCAGTGGCACCAGACTTGTAATAGTCTTTTGGGGCTAATTTACCCCCATAGGTTCGCTCAGACAGCCCCTGACGACCCCAAATTGCTTGTGATATGTCCTTTGCTACTAGCGCTGGCTTCGTCTGTCCCAAGGCTTTCTTTGCTTGCTTGCTGCCAACCGTCAGGCCCCTTTTCAAGTGGAACTACAGAAGTAGTAGAAACATCATTTAGAAGCGACCTTGAATACATGTTAATTATGTGCTTACCCTGCCACCACCGACGTCAGTAAAAGGAGCATGACCCGCAGCCTGAGGGTCATCCACTGAGGAGAGGCCAAGATTTCATAAGTTAGCCAAAATATTGAAAAGAGCACTAAAACAACACTGGTGCCTAGTCAACTTGGCTACTTTACCTGTGGCTGATGGGGATCCCGAGGTGGCTCTTTGGAAGCTCTTGGGCTGGTCATCTGTTGGGAGGATACTTGGGGGATCCCTTGGGGGCGAATCTAGCTGCTCAGTGTTGGGCACTTCTGGGGGTCCTCTGGCCAAGCTTGCTGGAAGATTGGGAGGTGTTGCTCGTGCTCTCTGCACACTTGTCTCCGGGACGTGTTGATGTGGTATGCAGCCTGAAACATATGTGTCCCTCAAGTATTGAACTTTAAATGTAACACTGGGTAAAGTTGTGGATAGGTTATCCATTGTAAGTCATTTTCTTATCAATACTTTTGCAAGTTGAGTCAAGAATGCTCAGCATATCATAGCATACATGTACTGGACAGGCCTAAGAATTCTGTGTGAGCAACAGGCCAATTATGACATAGAAAACATGAGTGTCACATTAGACTGCTGCACTATAAATTACTGCCCAAATTTACCACTGTTTAATCTTGGAATCCATGGATCTTCTTGCTGGGAATCTATAAACAAAAACAAAAGTATGACCTACAGGCTACAATCCATCATAGTTAATACATATTACCAAATACTCTTACAACTTTACTAAAGCTACAAAATACTCAGGTCATAACATTAATTGCAGATAACTCAAAACGGCCAGCGAGATCCATATGTACACACTGGTGCCCTAATAATTAAGGCTGACAATGGGAAGCAGACTGACTTTTGAAAGATGGGGCCATTTAGATGTTACTTTCTGTACCTTCATACTAAGGAGCGTTTTTCTGTGCTGAAACCTGTAGGTGAAAATGGCAAAAATTCCCACTGGCAAGAGATTTTTTAGCTAACACCTCACATCTAGTAGTTTATAAAAAAATATATTCTATCAGTTCAGTTCTGTTTAAGTTAATAAAAACATGTCAGTATAAGCTCATGGACTCCTTACCTGGACGAACTGCCTGCACTTCTGGCAGCTGAATAGGCCTTCTTGACTCCAGTTTCTCCTCAACTGAACAAATGAAAAACACTGTCTTAGTTTGGAAACCTGTATCGTAATGCAAACCAACATGAAAACCTTAAACCTCAGGGAAAAAAATAATATTTCGATTAAGCATTATACACCAATTTCAACCAAGCAAATCATTGAAAATTGCACCTATATATTTAAAGGGCAACTCCGCTCAATTCCGCAATTCCGAAGATTTGGGGATAATGATTGATTTCGAATTAAAAAGCCCTAGTAAAACACACTACGTCGTTTGCTCCGCGAAAAATGGGATATATATTTTAAATCTGATTTTAAACACGAGCGGAAATCGAAACCGAAACTTTGGCTCCGCCCGGCAACATTGGCCTAGGGTCGCCAAGTACATGGCCATCACGTGATACGAGATGTCACGTGATCCTCGGCCCAACGACGGGCAGGATTGGGGCGGGCGTGTGGCAGGCGCGAGTGTCGTCTGCACCGCACTCTTCGCCACGTTTTGGTGCCTACGGCATTCGACGACGTCTGCACAACTGCGACATAAGTGTGCGCGCACGTGGTGTCCGTAGTGTGGACAAAACTCCGAGAGACAATCACGATCGGTGAGACGACGACGGCGGTTGTGACGCGGACGACGGCGGTAACGGCGGGACCACGGCGGGCGGCCGGACGGCTCCCAAGGAACGCACTGCGCAGGCGCGTTACGCCAATCACATGGACACTGCTGAGCGCCGAGAGGCAACGTTGCTGACGTCATGCGCTACGCTCGTCCGGAGAAGTGAAAACAAGCAAAAGGGGGCCATGTAGATGGCGTTTAGCTCAATGTTGGCTCCGCCCATGCCGTAGCCTTGACTGCGCTGTTGGTTGCGCCTGAATTCGCCCGCTCAAGTCAGCCGATTCCGGCAACTTGGCGAGTTGCAAAGTTTGCCGGACCGTTTAAGAAACACTTAGACAGAACTGCGTCGTAAGATTTCATGTGTGTACTGAAGAGGACTGCATTGTTTTTTCAAAACCAAAAATGAAGCGGAGTTGCCCTTTAAGGAGAGATTAGTTCAGAAATGTGACAGCTCATCAAATGCATAGGATGCCAACGTCAAAAAAGTAAGCCATCAAAAAGAGATTAAGTATTCTCTGTATGTATGAAACAACACAGGCATGCAGTCTCCAAAAATACACTGAATAGAACCACAGGCTTCTATGCAAACAGCTGAATGAATGAAGACATACTTACTGGCTGTCAGCTTGCTAGCGATAGTCCCATTCATAGATTCTATGATGTTGGTGAGTTGGGCCTTCTCTTTGATGGCTTCCTCACAGCGGTGGCGCCAGTACCTCGCCTCGCTTCTGGCACGCTTCAGCTCTGACGCAGAAACGACATAGTCATCACTGTCGCTGTCCGATTCAGTTGCAGGACGACGTCGTTTTGTAGAGACCTGGGCAGTAAAAAAATTTAGACCATTGTGCACACGAAGTATCAATATCTTGTGTTAAATGCATATTTATGGACCACATACCCGGACGGCACAGGCGGCTTCATTTTTTTTCCTAGAGTTTTCCAGATGCTCTTGAAGGATGCTTTGATAGGCAGAGCTCTTAGATGCCAACTGGTGCACTTTCTGCCTTTTCTTCTCCTGTAAATAGTTACGACAGTCCTGAAAGACTATGAAGTTGCACTAAGTACAAATGAGTGCAACATACCTGTTTGGATGTTTGCTTCTGAGAAGCAGATGCCTCATGCTCACTTCCTTCTCCAGTTTCAAGATCTGAAGGGTGGATTACGGCCTTGCGCACCCTTCTGGATGCCCTCTTCGCTTGCAGTTCTTCTTCGGAATCTGTGTTACAACAAAAAAAAATTACTTAAAATAGTACATCAAATATTTACACCACAGAGTTTGGCACTCATTAGGTCGCAATTTTGAGATATATGAATGTAAGAACTTTTATATCCAATGCTACCCGTAATGTCTTTTGACTAGTAATTGTTATCTCTATATACTGCGCGAGTATGAATAAGTTGTCATCTAGTCGTCTATCGGTGCTGTTGCCAGCAAAAATGATTGACACATTTTGCTTGTTCTTTCTCTCCCTGCTATTTTGGGGTAAGAGTCACACTATTACCACGCGACGAAGCGAGTGTGACGCAAAATTACGCATTTACCTAGTGTTGGACAGTGAATTCCTCGCATAACGATTGTGTGTACACTGGCAACTGAAATAAAAGGCTGTCATCAAAACCACCAAAACTTGAGCCATATAAATACTACTAAAACACTTAATCACCGTTTAACGTAGTTTTGCTCTTGCACAGTTTGCGGCGCTGGTCTTTCCACGTGCAGTGGGCTCAAACCTTCTGACGAACAGCACGCGGATTTCGAAAGGGGCTCTTAACTCGTCCAGTGAGAAAATACAGATTACGTGCGCATGCTAGTCGTTGCGAGCAGTGTACATGTGACTGACATATTTGATATTTCCCATCAGTGGCTGCCTAATCAAATTGAATGACCGCGACCACCACGCAGACACGTTTCCCTTGAAGTCGCGCGTCCGCGCGTATTTTATGAATACGATCACGCCCTCCTAATTTTATGTATTATTTATTTGTAATAATTAAGTCTCCAATTACTTACTTGCCAGAAGCAGCACTTGCGAAGGATACGATCCAGTGTTCTCGGAGTTTTCATTGTCCTCCCAGAACGTCGTGTATACTCCGTTCTTATCGAAGTCATTTTCGTTCACCGGATGAAAGTCCTTAATGCACCGCACCGGAACCACGTACCCCTTCTGATCAAATTCTTTTAAAAAACGAACCAGCGCGAACATCGTTTCGATGATGTAATAGGAATTCGCGATTAACTAATCTCCACCACAAAAATGTTCTGGAATCTGCATCCGGAATGCCGACGCTGTGGTGGCTGTGGATCGGATTGGAATCGGACCGATGATTAGGCTTGAAAAATTATGACCACATAATCTACATTTAAAGAAACGTACTATTAAAACTAGATCAAAGACAACAGAGATTTTTACTTGAAATGTTTGGCAATTATAAAGCATGTGTAAACGAAGTAAACGCAAGTTTCCCCCTTAACCAGTTACAGAGGCAATAGCCAACGAAATCCAAAACAATCCAAAGCACTGGACAACTAGCTAGACAAAGCCAACAAAGCCACATTTGGTTCACGGCGAACGTGATTTGGTTAAACTTCGGAAAATTAACGCTGTTTTTCAGTTTAGTTGGGGCTGCTGGGCAAGAGTGACTGCCTGTGGCTAACCGGGCCGATCTAGGCTTCTGTGGACTGGACCGTGATCGTTTTGTGTTGTTTCTCGACTGGAACATGCTGTGAACGTAAGACGATGAGCCTGAGCAAATTCAGAACTCGTAAGCGATATCTTGAGCCCGACGCATGGGATGAACCGTTACCAAGATCAACAGAACATGAGATAAGAAAAAGGGTGCTCGTGTCTCCAAGTGTTCCCTGTCCACGCCATAATTCGGGGTGCCCAAACCCTGCGACTGCTTCGACTACTCGTGGAGCATCGGACAGCAGCTGCGGAGATGAACCAAACAACCACTCGAGATCTGAAGGGAGTGGTCCGTCGCCCGTAGTTATAGACGATGATCCAGGAGATCACTCGGCTGCTGAAGACAGCGGTTCGGAGCCCTACGATGAAGACGAACATCACTCTTCAACCGATACCCATCCAGGCACCAGTTCTGCCAGCTCCCCGTTCTTGCTGGAGTTTGTGACCCCTCTTCGAGATGGAAGCTCCATGTCTGTAGGAGACGTCCTTGTCCTCATCATAGACATAGCGATAAAGCATGACTTGGAATGGACGGCCATAGAGGACCTCCTAAAGTTTGGAAATATTCTGTTGGGAAAGAATGTTCTTCCAGAGAGCAAATACTTGTTCAGGAAGTTTTCTGGAGCTTCACCGGAAGAGATGCAGTTCCACTTCTACTGCCCTACTTGTGATCAACTGCTGACGAAAACTGGAGGAAAGCTACCAGAGCGCAACAACATATCGAGCACGTGTTCGACATGCGGAAAGCATTACGTTGGTCGCCAGTTAATGGCAAACGGGAACTTTTTTGTTAGCTTGCCGCTGGATAAGCAATTCACCTCTCTCCTTGCGGACACTACTGTGAGAGAGCAGCTCTTGGAGTCATTGAGCCGCACAAAGGCACCAGAAAACACTGGTGTATCGGACATCACCGACGGCTCTTTCTACAAGCAACAGCGAGAGAAGCTTAACTGCAGAAAACAGGACCTGACGCTGACCATGAGTGCAGACGGGAGTCCGATGTTTAAGTCGTCAAACTACTCCATCTGGCCCGTGCACTTCACCCTGAACGAGCTGCCACCACACCTGCGCTGGCGCAACGTCATTTGTTCTCTCCTGTGGTACGGTACGAAGCACCCAAATATGACGCTGCTCCTTCAAGCGTTCGCCGACCAGATGAGGGAGCTCTCCAGGGATGGAATATCCTGGAATGCAGGTGGCCAAGATATACATTCAAAGGTATGTTTCTATATATATGCTCTTGACACAGTCTTATCTTATATTTTATTTCTTTGCATTACATTTTGAGTAGCCTTCGCCCGAAGGCTTGCGGCTATGCATTTATGCCAGGAGTTACTTTTTATTCCTTTTGTATAGCCTCTGGTTGAAAAAAAATGAAGTCCTAACTTCTTCAATACATCATCTGATATGGAACTACATCAATACATCTTTAACAGAATCGGAGGAAAAATGCAAAGAAGACCTTAGTACCTACCTCACCAGTTCAGCTACTTCTTTTTTAAATTAGTTTCTAATAGCACTTATAAAATGTATTACATTGTTATGAAGTTATTAGAAAGCAATTTCCATGGAACTATAAAATTCACCGAGCTATATTCTTTGGTGTCTCTTACTTTTCTAGGTCTACTGCATAACCAGTGTCGCAGACGCTCCAGCGAGGGCCTCTATGCAGAACTTGGTGCAGTTCAACGGGTACTATGGCTGTGCTTGGTGCTTACACCCTGGAGTTTTCGTCGAAGGTACAGTCAAATAAGTTTATTCTTTGAAGGATCATTCTCAGTTGCTAGGCAAAGCACTAATGTTCATGTTTCACTGTGCAGGCAGCGTGAAGTACCCGGTGACAGTAGCTGTTGATGACAGGACAGAGGCTTCTATGTTGTCTGATATGACAAGTGCAGCAGCGACAAGCCACGCCGTCAACGGGGTTAAGGGGCCATCGCCTCTCATCAATGTTCCGGGATTCGACATAGTTTGGAGTTTTCGGCCCGATTATATGCACTGTGTCCTCCTTGGTGTTGTGCGTCAGGTCACCGAAATCTGGTTCTCGAACGTCGGCGAGGACCATTACATAGGGGCCCCTAGGACTTTGGCTGTGGTGGACCAGCGGCTCCAAGGTCAGAGGCCGCACCTGTGCTTCAATCGTCCACCACGGTCGATTAAGCTAAGGAAGTATTGGAAGGCGTCAGAATGGGAGGCATGGCTACTTTATTACTGCCTGCCGTGCCTGAGGGATATCCTTCCAGAGGAGCTTCTCGAGCATTTTGCGCTCCTTGTTTCTGGACTTTACATCTTGCTGCAGAACCATGTCACGCTGGAAGACGTCGATACAAGCACTACCAAGATCACAAAGTTTGTCGTGCTGATGCAATATCATTATGGAGAAGCACAGATGACATCCAACGTTCACACGTTGCTGCACTTGCCAAAGAGTGTATTGCTGCACGGCCCACTCTGGTCACTATCGTGCTTCGAGTTTGAGAACAACATGGGGCACCTGCTCAAGCTGGTGTCCTCTTCGAATGGAATTCCGTTCCAAATCCTGTCCCGCATTCTGTTGAGGAACAACTATCATCAGTTGCGATCCATGGCCTCCGAAGAGGTGAGGAAGCAGTGCTCCCAAAAAATGCCTGACAGGGAAACAGAGATCAGGCTACTTGGGAAACCTCAACCAGCCTCTCAAGACGTGACAGACTTTGTACTGGAGCACCTGACAGGAGTGGACAAAATCGAGGAGTACCATCGTGTGTCTGTGGGTGGATGCACCATCCACAGTGAACAGTACAAGCCTCTATCAAAACGGGACTCCACTGGTATAAAGCTAGGAGACGTCTATGCGAAGGTGGCGAATATAGTGCGTGTTTGCAAGTTCGGTGGGAGCTTGGAGCTTTTCGTTATCTCCCATGTGTACCAGGTCGAAGCAATGGGAGAGGTCGATCACCTAAAAGTCGCACACAAGACTGCTCAGAAGAGCTTGCATCCACTGTCCCAAGCCGTTCGCCCATGCATGTACCTGCAGATCGATGACACAGAGATTTTTGCAGAATTGTGCAACCGCTATGGTTCATTTTAAACAACCTTCAGGTTGTCTCCCAAATTACCTCTTTCCGATCCCGACTTTTTCAGGTTATCCTTGACTATTTTGATAAAATGCCCTGACCATTTCTTTGGTCAAAGAAGATGTTTGACCAGCCTATTGGCATGACAAACCAATAGCCGCTAACCTTCTTGTGCTTGTGGCTCTTTCCATTTAATCAGGCAGTGGCATTTCAGGCAACGCTACTTGGCACTGCCATGCCGATACATGACAATCTGGTTTCATTGCACACCGCCACGCCACTTTCACTGGTAGTTTTCCTCCCATTAGCTAGCTCTTTGGGGGTTTCCCCGATATTTCCCTGGCTTTTCTTGATCCAATGTTCCCTGACAATCTCGGCTTTTCCAGGTTGGTAGACACCCTGACCCTGTTATGTCGGGGTAACAGGTGATTTCACATAGAGAGGTACCAGTGAACATCCCTTCTTTATTTGTTTCATGGAAAGTAAACTTCAACTGTAGTAAGCAACGTCTGCCCGCATTTTCAACCTGCGCGTGAAACTGTGTCCACCAACCTAAAAACTTGTAATTAGGGAATTTCAGATCACCTGGTAAAGTCAAAGAATTACCGGATTTCGTTGGCTAAATCAGGGAAAATGACCAGTGCAAGTGGCACGGCAGTGCAGAAAGAGACGCAGCAGTCGTGCGTCAGCATGGCCGTGCTGAATATTGCCAGACACACCAAGCAAAGAAACAGTCAGAAAATTTTATCGAAATGGTCACGAAAAACCTAAAAAGTCTGCGTTTTTTAAAGTAAGTGCGAAGAGTAACGTGATTTCAACACGATCAGGAGCAGCACAAATGTAATCAACTGCCTCCTACAGTGCTTAATGTGCCAAAATAAATAGATTGAACAGAGATATATTAGGAATAATTTGGCAGTCCTGCACACTCAGGTTCATATGCTACACAATCATGTTTTAAACAAAATATCTAGTTGTACAAAGAGCATTCTCCAACTCACAAATATTTGTATCACCAACAACTACCTCCAAATTCCAATCTTTTATGAAAGATCTTTGTAAGTTGCTATTTTTTTACTTTGTCTGCATTCTTTTTTTTTGTAGATATGGTTGGTTTATTTTGTTCTATATGAGATGCCCCCTCATTGTTACATTGTTCCTCTTGTTAACCTTAAATTGTATATATGGTAGTAATTACGCTGAAAATTGTCCTGGCAGAAGTGAAACAAAGATATACCATTCAACAAACGAGCATTGTGTTTGTTGTCATTTTCGGAATCATCTGTTTAGTTGACAAACAGAAGTTTTACTATCTCGCCAACTTGAAGTAAATATATATTCTGAACTTTGAAACCATTCATTTGTTGTCATTTTTTGAGTCATAACAAAGGTTTGCTTGACAAACTGAGAAGGTGTACTATTTTGCAAGTCTGGTAAATCGCAAAGATTTGCCAAGTTTGCCTTCGGTTAATCACTGTCGTAAAGGCAGAATTAGTAGTGGGGAGAATCCGTCAAGTGCAGTGTGCCATGTTCTCCGGTGCTGATCTGATGATAGGAGTCTTTTCGCTCCTTCCATTGGCAATACCAAACAAACCTCTTGCGTCATGCAGAAAGCCTTTCTTGCTTGTTGTTAGTAGCTATAACTCCCCAAAAAATATGAATTCCAGACTTTTCTGTGTTGCCAAATTCACTGAGGTTGGGCTTAGCATAAACTTGGAAGCAGTCAGGAAACAATTTCAGGGCTCCTTTTAAAGACTGCCAGAATGCCCACCTCCAGCATGTGCTCGTTTCCTTCACCGGACGTAGGGTGGGGAGGTGCACCTGCATGCTTGTCGTGAAGTTCAGAAATCTCGTGCAAGAGGTGGAACTTTTTGAGCAGTGTTAACCTTTCACCAACTAGAGTAGCTCGAAGTGTACAAGGGATGACCAATGTGTCTACCAAGTGGGACCACTTCAAGAACCACTTGTATCCAAGTGGTCACAACTGGACCTCAAGTGGGACCAGTGCAAGGACCACTTGCATCTAAGTGGTCACAACTGGACATCAAGTGGGACCACTTGCATCCAAGTGGCCACAACTGGGCATCAAGTGGGACCACTTCAAGGACCACTTGCATCCAAGTGGTCACAACTGGACATCAAGTGGAACCACTTTAAATCAAGTGGGACCACTTGAAATCCCACTTCATATTTTCACCTGGGAATGTACGACACAGCGGTGATGGAGCAACACGGTTACGCGGCCGTAGTACAGAAAATCCGCTAGAGCAAAAACAATAAAGAAACTAGCAAAACAAAACAAAAAGTAATCACACCGTGCTACAAAAGCACCAAAGTAGAAAAATTAGTTCTTACAAGAGCTACCACTGTCGACACGGCGGGCGACACGGAGCGCTTCATGGAGCCGAGGGAGCAACGCGGCCACGGTAAACGAGTCCGATAGCGACAAAAACGAACTAAAACACACAAAAAATACTCCCACGGCACTTCAAAAGTACCAAAGTATAAGAATAACCCCTAGTTTCGGTCAAAAAGACCCTTTAAAGTTGTAAAATACTGCTAAACCACGCTCAAAAGGTCCGGCCAGATGGCATTCGCGATAGCAAGAGACCTCGAAGATGGCGACCGTGGTGGGCGATGGCAGCGAACCTAGCGAGTGACGTCAAGTGAATGTCACCTATAGTATTCCTCCTGTGTATAGTTATTAATTTGCTAAGCTAAAAGACGAGAGGGTGTCAAAATAGTGCAATGTTCCTTGCTTTGTCTCGTTTAAAATATCAATATTGAAATCTCCAGCAAGAACTATGTATTTATTGTTATTGAACTTGTGAAGTAATTGGCTGAATTCATCACATAATATGTTTATATTTGAATTAGATGGTCTAAACCGCGCACACCATGTACGAAACATTAATTTTATTAATGGTCGCAGCACATACTTCTGCGTGTTGGAATGACGCATCATTTTTTTTTCAGACAAGCAGTGGTCATTTATGTATATTTCCTGGGTGTGGATATTTCCTGGGTGTGAAGAGTGGACAAAGTTGCAGCATACGCTATACTCCTGATTGTGCACGTGATCACTCCCTCCCACCTTTTTGCTCCTCCTCTTTGAGGCGTGGAAAGACTCACTTTCTCGTACTTCCCCTCTTGTTCATCAAGGGACGCATTTTGGCCAACTTGCTGGTGTACGAACTGAAGGAAGCACGTGTCTGTGCAGGGGAGTCGATACCGATCCGTCTGTTCTTGGCTGGCTACGACCTGACGCCGACCATGAAGGACATCAACAAGAAGTTCTCAGTGCGCTACTACCTCAACCTCGTTCTCGTGGACGAAGAGGAACGGCGCTACTTCAAGCAGCAGGTGGGGCAGACAAAACTCATGCGCAGTGTACGACGATAACGAGGCATTTGATGTTGATTAGAAGAAATCTGTATAGAAAAAGCCACAAAACGTACACTATTGCGGTTTGTGTGGGTGGGTTTACGGCCAGGGCACGGTAATATAGTGGGCCATTCGTTACGATAAGTCCGATAATGAACTGAAATTTGTTATAACTAAAATTGTTTAATTAGTGAAAATAAACATATGGTTCCAATTAGAAACTTGCTGAGTGTCATCAAAAACCACTGGACTAGTATATTTTAGAAAGACTTAAAACCTGTGGGAAGCACGGGGGCATGCTAAAGTTCCCACTCATGTAACTGGCGCAAAACTGCAAGTGCAAAAAACATTCCAGCGCAGTTTTTGCATCTCTTGTCGTCTGTGTTTTCGTTCCGCTGGCTCTGCGCCTGTTTCACGAGTGGTAACTTCGCCGCACTACCGAGCTTCCCGCGTCCTAGAAATTTTTTAAAAATGAATTGATTTAGTGGTTTTGGATGACACTCAGCAAGTTTCTGATTGGAACCATATGTTTATTTTCAGTAATTAAAAAAGTTAGTTATCTGACATACGTCATCGTATATCATGGTGTAACCATATATCGTAGTGCAACATATCACCCTGTGCGTGGTGCTGTTGGCAGCTCACAGGCTGCCAGACAGAGGTAGAGAGTTCGAACCCCGTTGGGCTTGGGTCTTTATTTGATCAATCTTTGCTTCTTTGAAAACTTCCAGCCTATTCCTGGCTATCATTAATTGTGTGTTCTCGTTCAGAACGTTCCCCTTGACGCAAGATGCGTGGTACCTTTCTTTTTAAGTTGCCTACTAACAAATGCAAAACAGGGAACATAGATGTGGCAGTTGTATTTTTCCCCCGTTTGTGTTGAATGTGCGGCGTCTCGCTAAGTGACATGAGCCGCCACCTGGATCGAGTTGTGCAGTCGTGGTTGGAAGAGACGTGGATGTGAGAGTTCTGACAGAGCGACATGGAAAACACTGCATAGTGTTTTCCATGTCGCTACCTTTTTCAAAGGGCTGTGATGGAATGATGAATGGTCTGGGAGAGTGTGATAACCGGCGACGCTTTTGGGAGCCTAGTACCGTATTTACTCGCATAATGACCAATATGACACGGGAAGGTACTGTGGCGCGTCTCCAGTGATGGAGGCGCACCCACGGCTGGTCCGGGGAGCGCCACAATAACCATGCTTTATAAATTGCAAACCTTTTTAGGGCGCTTTCCGGGTGCCCTTTCCCGAAGGAAAAGCGCCCTATGAAGCTCACTCAGCACGAAAAGCAACACAACCATTCTTAGGCGATATTTATTGCTAGTATTCGGCAAGCACGCTTGGGTATAGTCCGTGACTACGCGTATAAGAACTCATACGAAGTCCAACCCCCAAAGCCCGCTCGCACGGATCAAGTTTTTTTTCACGAAGAGGCTACCAGACACTCTCAACCTACAGCACGGCGTTTCCTCGCTTTGCTGTTCTGTGGTGGATTAAATTAACGCATTTACCCAGAGTTCGTGAAATTAGGACTAACCACTTTCACGATTTCACTGTCCGAAAGTGGACCACAGACAACGGCTTGTTTGTTGATGTCAATGCATCCGATAGGCAAAAAGTGTCCGGGGTTCGGCAATTCCTCGACCCAAGCTTCGTCAAGTGTGCGCGACACTCAGTTTCACGGTTGATCACTTCCGTAACTACCGCAACTACGCACTTGCGGCCATTAGGAGAGCAGCCTGGCCTGGCTTTACTTGGCCCGACCGCTTGGCGGCAAAAGAAAACTGGCTTGATGGCTTGCTTAATTGGACGCAATTCGACACTCGTTAATCCGAAAATTGGAGGTGCGTTGATTACGGGAGGGAAAATAAAAGTCAAAATATTGATGCCCGTTGGGGAAAGTGCGTTTATTATGTGAGTAAATACGGTATATAGGTAAGGTGAGATGTAACTTTCACACTCCAATTTATTTTGTGTGGACTTCCACGGGATTTTGCTGGGCTCGTCCGTTTCGGGGTCCAGCGGCGAAGCGTGTTAGGTGCACCGCATCTCGGAGCCTGCGGAAAGAAACTTGGTTCTTGGAGTTCGTGTCTGCCGCATCTTCACGGAACGGGATTCTTCGTACGTCAGTTCAGTTCAGGGATACATATAAAACTGAAAATGTTTTATCCCGCAATGCTCTTTCACGACATGTATCAATGTCACACGAAACTGCCAGGAGTCAGTCAGTCCTATACAGTGCAATCCACTTATAACCATAATGAGAAAACCCGAAAATGCAATCGTTATAACCGATTATCGAGATGTATCTGGACTAAAAACTGATTGTTTCTAGTTTAGAAACTCTATGAACTGATTGTTATAAGCAGTATATCGTTATATGTGGTATCGTTATAAGTGGATTGCACTGTTATGCGTTCCCTGTTGAAATCTGTGTTTCACTTGTGCCTTCAGGAAATCGTGCTCTGGAGGAAAGGAGAGAAGACCCGCAAGCCGATCCAGCAACCCGACCAAGCCGCGGGCGACGGCGGCATGTAGTCCGCGACGCGACAGAGGCGTTGTGGAGGTTTTTTTGGAGCGCCCCGAGAAATGGGGCAGCCCCTGCCACTCGAGGCAAATGTAGTTTCTATACGCTGTCTACGTACGGTCGCAGACGCTGCGACTTCGAGCCGCAAAAGACTGGTGCAGCGCGGCGAACGCCGAGCCGAGCTCAGTCTTCTTTTCTTTTTTCCCACATGGTGCGACCCGTCTTGCATCGTAGGCGACCGTACGCTTGTTATATAATCTGTAAGTTTGTACAGGATGTTTTTTTTTTTTCTTTCTTGGAAACCAAAAACAAACAAAAACCCCTTCCCTCGTCCTTTAAAAAGAGTGAGATGAAATCGTCGCCCGCTCCTCCGCTTTTCCCCCTGCACCCAGCGGT